TGAATTTTAAATGTCACTTTTTTTTACAATACAGTTGTTAAAATGAAACGCGTTTTGAATTTATAAAAAAAGGAAATAAACCGAAAAAACTAATTACAAGTTACGTAAAGCTGGTTATTATTATTTTATTTACGACCTAAAATGGATTTTATTCACTATTTTTATGTGTTATTGCTCTAGTTGACACACTAATTAGTTGTCTCATAGTCGCCTTATCTGTCACCCATTGCCAATCATTTACTTTACTGAAAATAGAATTAACAAGCCATTTAATTTTTCTCCCGACATATTCTATTCGTGTTTGTTTATTAAAAGAAGTAATTAACGCACTTACTCTCTACACTTGCAACAATAAATATTTTATATATATATATATAAAAGAATTCAGGAGTGTCAAAGGACGTGATTACCACCCGCAGTGAAAGTAATGTTTACAACGAACATTTATCTTATTACTTACAATTTTTTTTTACCTGTTCACAATTTCTTGTTTATTTTGACTTATGCATCGAAATTTTTATATCTCTTTTGATATAATAATAATGATAATAATAATGATAATAATAATATTAGTAATAATTATATTATTATTATTGAAATAATTGTACTGATAAATTAGTAGAAATTACTAGTTATTAGTAAAATTTACTTATGTAAAAGCAAAAATTCGGTCACTAATTTAAATAATTATTAAACATTTTTACTAATTCAAATTTTGAGAGTTAATATAAATATTAATAATAATATTACTGTTAATAATATAATAACAAATTATAATTATAGGAAAACAATAATAATTGAATTTAAAAATAACAGGAGTAAACTTTTTCTGTACAATAGTTTAGAAAACAAATCTTAAATAATTTTAATTAAAACGATTGAAACCTTAAATTTAGAAATTAATTTGTACCTATTGCAAAATGAAAATTTGAAAATAACCTTTGAATTCAACTGTTTTTTGTTTTCCTTATCTTTTTTTGGGGGGAGGGGGGTAATTATAAAATTTTCTTTTGACCAAGCTCCTATATAGACAGTGAAACCTCTCAACTGACTCATTAATCAGTTCTTATTCCAGTATTTCTGAGAAGTACTTTATTACCACATGTAATGTACATGGTCCAGATGCAATGGAACTTCTCATACATAACATATGTGCGCATGTTATGGGCACTTGCGCTCGATGAAAAAAAATTTTTTTTTCTTTTTTGTTCAGGGACATTTAACTTGTATTTTATATTATTCCGGGTTTTATATGTATTTATATAATTTTTTTTTCTTTTTATATGCATATAGACATGTATGTAGTGGTCTCGATTAAAGTTTAATATAACGAAACTGGAATCCAAGGACAATTATTGGTCGCTCTCGGTAATTGGAACTCTCCATTTTTTTTTTTTTTTTTTTTTTTTTGCGAGAAAGGAAAAATTTAATATTCTGCTTTCATTGAAATATTTTCGAAAAAAGAAAAAAAAATAGTAAAATAAAGATAGAATACATTCTTACTCTGAAAGTCTCAATTGATGAATTGCAGTATTTACATTCTTGGCTGAACGCCAAAATTCGAGAGTTACAAGTAAACATCCTCTCTTTCTCATACCGTGTATGAAACATATATAAATGTGTATTTCAAATTTTATGTATTTTCCTTTCATAGAAGGAAATTTTCGATAGTGCTTATTTTACTTCTTAGTTGTTGATTATCTTTTTTTTGTTTGTCTTTTTTACTTTGTTTTTTCTCTTTTATTTATTTTTTCGAGTATTTTAATTTTTTTATTTTTAGTTTTATAATTCTTTTTTTGTTTTTCCATTTTCATCTTATTTTTACGTTTTTTCGTTCTTTCGAGTTTTATTTTTCCCTTTTTCCCCTCTTTTTTTGATTTTTATTGTTTGTTTTATTTTTCACTTTATTTTTCGTTTTATTTTTTTGCTTTTTATTTTATTTCTTCTTTTTATTTCTTCTTTTTCACTATTTTTTGGCTGTTTTCAAATGTATTTTTTTCTTTTTCGATTTATTTTTTTTTTTATTTAATTTCATTGATATTTTTTTTTATTGTTTTTGTTGTAATTATAATTTTTGTAACTTTTAAATTATTTATTGTTTAGAAATGAAGAAATTCTTTAGTTTGTTGATTTATTTTTAATTTTAGTTTTTTTCGTTGTTACAAAAAGGAAAAAAATTAGGACCTTGAGAGTTTTAAGTAAATGAAAGATGTTTCTTATAGTCGAAAATTGAAAGCATCATTTTTTCTGTACATGACACTGAAAATAAAGAGACGCATATTGTTTTTTGTTCTTATGAAGGGTGATGATAGTGATGATGACTTTGTCATTTTACAGCTGCAGATGAAATTCAATTAGTAATATTTTTAGAAACGCCGCTTTATTTCCATTTATATTAACAAAATTATTCATAACATATTTGAATTTGATAGTTTAAACCATTTTTTAAAAATTTTTAAGTTGTTTTTAATCCTAACTCTCATTTTTTAAATATTTAAATACAGAATAAAAATATTAAATATAAATATAAATATAAATATTAAATTTAACTATAAAATATAAATATTAAACATAATAATAATATTCATAAAAGTAGAAGTAATAATAAAATATAAATTTTAAAAAATTGGAAAAGAATTCATATTTTAGTAGATTTTTATATTTATCGAATTTTGTAGAAATATTTCAAAATTCGTGTTATTTTATTATTCTTTCTTTTTTTTTTTTGAAGATAAAGTATGCGTAGAAATGATAATTTTTGGAAGTCATGCGAATATGTTTCTAATCCAAGATTAACCTCGTTTTCAATTAGAATCTTGAAGAGCATGCGGGCAACTTTGAATCATCGAGGTCGAGGGGAATCGTTCATTTAAACACGAAAGTGGAATCACCGATTGTCCACTATTATAATAGTAGTAAAATTTATGCTGGTGCATTATTGAAATTTTCTGCTAAAAATGACTTTCAAAATTTTACTTCAATTTAGTCTGACATACTATAATTGGACATTCTATTTTCATCAAACCCAGTAATTTAATAAAAATTATTCTCTTCATTAAAATCAAATTATTTTGTCTCTTCGCATTTTATGGTAATTCATATTTAATTAATACCATTTCTTTGGTAATTAAATTAATATATTAAAATTCATAAATTGAATAATTATTTTTTTTTTAAATATATTAAATATTAAAAATTTAAATATATTAGGTATGTTAATAATAAAACTGTTCGATTGATATTAATTATTTTTCTATTTTCTCGGATGTCTGCATATCATTAATCCAAATGACGAAAAATCTCTGAATCATGAGAGCTCTAAGAAAGGACAGAAATCTGTGCTTTTCTCGGAAAGTCGACTTTGATTTGTCCTATCCGCCAAGACGCTCCTTTTTCTGAAGTAATTTTCTAAAGATAGACGACCCCATGCATTAAACGAATCATTTGTCGTCTGAAAGTTGACGGTATTTCTGAGAATACTTTTCTAGCAAAAGAAAAAAATTATTCTTTTTTAAATACCGATTTCTTTTTATTGAATCTGGTGAATACATTGCTAATAATCCCTTTATTTCCTAATATTTTATTTAATAATAGTAATGTAATAATTTTCCTCGTAAATTTCAAAGAAAATTTCTTCATTATTTAAAGTTATTTTAAATGCGTTTTGAATTTTCGCTCCTTTTTGTATAGCCAATCAGAAGCGAGAAACGTCGACCAATAGAGTTGGTTTTTTAGACGCCATTTTTCTCGACGTTTTTTATGGTTAATTTCTAGGTTATGAAAGAAAATTATTAGAATTGGTAGAAAAGAATAGATTATTGAGAAGAAATTAGGGAGAAAGGATTAAAATGTGAGGAATTATGATCGACTTCTCCGCACTTGAAGCACGCAGCCAATTTGTCCGCTGCCTTACAAACTCTCTCTATGTGACCATAAACAAGACACCGATGAGAAATATATGATCTGTTAACGTTCTTTTGAATGTCGCAAGACTTAATTATCTTTGCACTTTTCTCTTCGATCTTTCGAAGATATTTTGCTTCTTCTTTCAACTCAACTGTGTTGGATTCAGGTATTTACAAAGTTGCAGTGTAAAGAAAGTTTCGCAATATTTTAATAAGGAACAATTAAGCCATAAACACTTTTTCCATCCGTAATGGTCTGTGGTAATATAGTTTGTAAGATGTTTGAACGCCTCTACAATTTGTGTCCATTTAGCGCCATCTGCAGGGGAATTCGAGAAATAGAATACTTTTTGTACCATCTTCAGGGAAATAAAAAAGTCTAGTACAGGTAACTGCATGTATGCTGCCCTTCCGGTTTGCCCATCTTTTTAAAAAACCACGCCATTTCTATCACAATCTTTAGTTCGTGACTAAAATGGTAAATAAGTTTGCCACGAACTAGAAATATAATGATAGAAATGCCACGGTTTTCAAAAATGTATACAAACCGGAAGGACAGCATATAAGCAGTTATCTGTAATTTCCTAATAAATAAAAATATTTCATTGTTAATTCAAATAACTTTAATGTTTATGTTTATGATATTTAATGTAATAGTTAATACATTAATAATTGACTATGATTAATAAATTATTGTCCAAAAACGAAGAGTCAAAAATACAGAAGAAAGTAAATTAAAATAAATCCTATTATCTTTTAATGATCATCTTATGAATATATCTTGATAATGTTCGCGCCGATTACATTTGCTTGACATGGCAGAATACTCCATTCTTGTTGATTGATAGGATAAGACTTTATCTGATTTATCCTACCTGTATTACACACGATTGGTCAGCACTTATCGTTTTTCAAATGGGACCGGTCACACTTTATAATTCTGCAACTCCCAGTTTAGTGCTGACTCTGTTATCTACAGTTTTCTAAACATTTTTTTTTTTGTTTAAACTAATATAATTATTATATAAACAAAAAATTTACATCGTTTGAAATATTTTCCGACTGCTATAATTTAAAATATGTTTTTAATTTCAGTTTAACTTTGTGGGACGAATTCTGGGACCACGTGGTATGACAGCAAAACAGTTGGAACAGGAAACGGGATGCAAAATCATGGTGCGAGGCAAAGGTTCAATGAGGGACAAAAAGAAGGTAAATATATTTTTTCTTTCCTTTCCAAATAAAAAAAAATAATTAGCGGCTAAATGGGTTGAACCAGTTTGAACTTCACAACTAGCACATAATCTTGAAACAGTGCCAAAAAATCTATTTTATCCAAAATCTTTTGCAGACTTGGATTTAAAAAAAATACTTTTCCCAAAAATGTCGAACTTTATTTTGGAACTCCGTTATGACAATTCTTGAATAGGAAATCAATGTAATTTTCCGGTCGAATCAGAAGAAATAAGTTTCCATATTCTCTTAGCTTCTAATTGTGAAAATATTACATGGTTTATGGTTTTTAACGATTTTTAATGAGTCTATATGGAACGTTAAAGTGGAGTAAAATTAATATATTCAAAGAGAGCAATTACGCTTTTGCATGAATCTCGTTCCTTCTCTTTGGTTGGAAAAAATGTTTCCAAGTGGACTAGCTATTATAAATGTTATGCGCTAACTTTCTTGGAGCATTATAATGCAGTCTGTGCAATAGTTTTTCTTTCAAGTCCCTCGTATAAACGGCATTAATTCGATAAGTGAACATTCCAGTAGATAGATATTTCGCGTTTCTTTTTCAAGAGTCGTGCTCGAACGAGAATGATCGCATAACTCCAAGTGTCCCATAACTTTAAAACACTTTTGAAAAAATTGCCACAAACGTGTTTGTAATAATCTACAAGAATAGCACTTTCAATTCAATTAGGATGCAATTTTATAAATATTAATGTTTTATTATCGAAATTATACGTTACACGCTTTTGAATTTTTAAATTCTCGCGCGATTTTTTTGTTACTAGTGATTTGAAGATGGCGCTCGAGGCTATTCCTTAAAATATATCTTTAGCACTCTCTTCTATATAAATATAGTTCGTGCTGATTACAATTTGCGAATGTCACACAAAGAAAAAAAGTCGGAAAAAGAATAAATAAAAATGGTTTGTGAAGTAAAAAAAGAATTTTGGAAATTTTAGTAAATTTCCTCATACTAGATCATGAATAAAAAAAAACAGTCTTCAGGGATAATTCATTGAGGCTGGAATCCCTTACGACACGAAAAGTTTAGAATTAGTTTTTTTAACGAATATTCTAGTTTCAATTATTTGTAGAGAAAATTCAATTTGGCTATAATTATAAACTATAAATAGAATAATGTTAAATGTTTTTTATTTTTAAAAAATGAGAGAAAAAAAGTTGGTAAATTGTCCATTGGATAAAATAGAAAACCTCATAAAAATTGTTTGTCACTTAAAAACAGATGTACTGATAGATAATCAATAACATTTAAAGATTTTCCACTGACGTGTTTTGTTAGATGTGTAATTCTTGCGAAAAAATTCTATTAGAAACTCGTTATATAGAGAAGTTGCCATAAACATTTATCCTTATTCGGAGGTATAAATTAGCAAAGATTAAGGCCTACTTCGATTACTAGGTCCATTTTCAGCTTAATCGCCCTCAGCTGCATAAAATAGAATTTAAGTAGATTTACGTTAAGGCATTTCTCTCTCTTGGCCAATCTTAGCCAAATTAAAAGTTTAATTTCTTTTATTTTTCCCACAAATTGTCCAAAAAAAGATTTTTCTGCGAAATTGACTTAACTTTTTGCGTTCAGTTTAAATTCTCGTGTGTTACATTCTAAATTATATTTTATATTTTTTATAAATAAAATTACAACTATTATGAATTTATTATAAATTATTACAAATATTGTGAATTAGAATTATTTTTTTTTCTTTTTGAAAAAAGGAAAATTCTGGGTTCTGGGTAATTTAAAATTTATCATCTATATAATTAATATAATTGAAAGTTAAATCCTTGAAATAATATAATCTTGAAGTCAAGTTAGCAGAAAAGTATATGCAGTTTGCTGTCCCTAACGGTATATATAATATAAAGTAATTGAGATGCCACACACGTAACATCGCAATTGTTCCAAGACATTTGGAGATAGCTCGATGTCTCCATTTGCCAACTACTTTCAATTCAATCATAATTTTTTCACCTTTAATTTTAATTAAAACTATTATTCCCCTTTTGATAATTAACATTTTTACAATTAAAAAAAATATTTTCCAAGCTGCATAAGACAGACTTTCGTAAGTACAAGTTTTTACAGATATTCTATAAATTAATTATATTCTATAAATTAATTATATTCTGTAATTTAATTTTATTCTATAATTTAATTTTCATTTTGCACTTTTATTAATTTTTCTTTTGTATCACAGGACAGTATAATTGTATAAATATAAAGTAGATTTGAATTTTATTGCTTACGATTTGTTTTGTAATTATTATCAAAAGTGTTGATTGCGTTTAGTTACGATTTGATCTGGACTTTGTTAATGTTCGGATTTGATTTTTGTTTTACTTTTTGTTTTTGTCAGAGTTTAATTCTCTTGTTTTATGATTTCCCAGGAGGAGCAGAATCGGGGTAAGCCTAATTGGGAACACCTGACTGACGAGCTTCATGTGCTCCTCACAGTTGAGGATACCGAGAATCGTGCCACCCTGAAACTTGCCCGAGCTGTTGAGGAAGTCAAGAAACTACTTGTGCCCGTGGTGAGACAGTTCCGACTTTTATCATTAAATTCAAAAAATTACAAATCTTACAATCTTAAATACATTTCGATATATAATTCATTTGTTTCTCAATTTTTTTTCTAATTAAAGTAGAAATCGTTTATGATTTTGTTTAAGGAGTTCGGAGCATAATCAGTCTTCAACCGATGTTCGACTATCAGAAATATATTGACGCCTAACAATAATCCTAACTTTCTAATTATTCGATTGTGTAAATTACAAATTATTTTCTAAAAAGACTTGAGATTTAGTTTGTACCATCTTAATAAATGATGGATTTTTGTCGTCACAAACATATTGACGCCTAACAATGTTCTGACATCTAATTATAAGACCGGTTATTAGAAGCTACTGTCGGTTATCTGCCCTTGAATGTCGGAAGTACTTTGAAACTATTCGCATAAATTGAATTTAATGTTAACGGAATAATTTTATCAAAATCCTAGTTGTACTTTTACAACCCTAGATGTATAAGTATTTCAATGCTATAACTATTTCAAAAATGTCGATTATCGATCAGATTCTGTGCGGAAAGTCGTCAATCAGATTGTCGGGATAATTAATCTTGAATCGGTAACTGTAGAATTAGAATTGTAGCCTCATTCATCACCTTTCTCGCAGTAATTACGAATCGTCTTGAAGAGATTTTAATGATACGTATATTCAACTTGTTTATAAATATATAAATCTTTATCTGATTACAAAGATTTGAATTTAATTGCTAAGTTGTTCGATAGTTAAAAGAAGTTTTCTCACATGATTGTCGGATGTATGCTGTTTATATAGAAAGTTTTAGAAGAATTAACAGGAACTATTAAACCCTTAATTTCTTTTTTTTTCTTATTTTCACCTTCGTCTCGATAGTTGTTGATGAAATCAGACAAGCGAACTTGACGTATCTCCACCATATTGAAATCTATCCCATGTGCAACAGGCGTGGTATCATTGACTTTAATCGTGAATCGAGTCAGCGCATTCCTCGTCGGTTATTTTATTATTTTTCTTCCGCGATCAATTTTTCACCGAACAATTCCACTGACTTTACTTCCATTTACTTCCATTTACTAATTATAATAAAATTTGTTCCGAGGTTTAACGATATTTGAGATTGAATTTAAATATTTAGAAAATTATACTCTACCCAACCGAAATTGAGAATTTGGAATTCGTTCGCCGAATAGACAACAAGGAAATAAATTATTTGCCGGAATATTGCAAAATTGATTTTGAATAAAAGAGTAGAAGTAATTGTGAAGTTAAACGAGTTGAGAATACTTAGTTTTTACTTTTTAGTCTCTGTAGTGTGATCGTACGTACACACATAGAGTTAAAATGCCTATCTCATTAAATAACCATTATACGATGGACATTTATTACATCATTTCTTATTGAGTACGTAGTCATCTAGTACTTAATCTTTTGCAATATTGCAAACGAGTCGGCGGAAAATTTCTCAAATCTAAAGCGTAGAAATTGGGCCATTATGTTTTATATACAAGGGAACACCTGCACTGCTAAAATTTACTTTGGTGACAAATCCAATGACACATGCGAAACCGTGAATATGAAGGCGTCGGCTGCCAAAGCCACAGCAATACGGATTCCTGTGCCAAAGTCATATATATCTTTCCTCAGTTATTATACTCGTGTAGTTTATGCCGTAATTCTCTTTCTCTTTCTTTGCCAAGGGGGAATCTGAGGAATGCAACATTAGCTGACCACGATAATAATGCAACACATAAAAGCCTTCCTTCACGGGACACAATTCATTTTTCCCGACACTTTCAAATTACTCGTCGTGATAATTTTTTTTCAAAATTATTAATTGAGAAATAAATGTTTTTATTTTTAGCGAAATTATTTGTTTTTGATTCTAAGATTATAACGGGTTGTGGACTTTTGATAACTGTCTGACGTTGATATCGATTGTTAGCAGGCTGATGGTGAGGACGAATTAAAGAAGAGACAACTTATGGAACTGGCCATAATCAATGGAACCTACAGAGATTCAAATTCAAAGGTTGCCGCAGCAGCAGGTAATTATTTTTAGAAATTATATTTGTCGTGAGTTTATTGATGCTTTAAGTCAAGTCCCAAATGGCAATCGTCAACGATATTCTTCCAAGTGAGGAATTATGGAAAATAATGTCAATTAAGGAAATTTTGGAATGCGGGAATTACATTTGCTTTGACTGTCGGTTGATTTTCCTGTAGTCTGGATTTTTTGTAGGTTCTTGTAATTTTTGGGGGGGAATTGTTAGGGTTACCTACCACTACCAGTTAATACTATAAATCGATGACTTTTAGTGATTAATAGTTGAACCACTAGAAATAACCATCATCAAATCTGAAGTGGCGAATAAGATTAGGAGGGTTTTCTTGATGAGGGTTTTCTTTTTAGGAGCCAAAGTATTCGAAATTTGTTACTTTCTAGAATTCCAGTTTTGACCACAGAAGCTAGAATCACAACCATAAGTCTGTCTGAAATCCTTTCGAGAATAGCCATACTTTTTAGGAGTAATCCTTAAGAAAACCTGATCTGGAAGCAGTACTTCGAATAACAGTATTGTAGGTTCTGTTGAATCTTTTGGACTTGCAGAAGGATGATAGGATCCTCTTGGGGAATTAGAAGCCAGATAATTGCTAGAAGAAGATAAATCTAGAGGGGTAACTGATGCTAGAATACTCCCCCGACCTCTTTTGTCGTCAAATAGCTTAGGACCCCAATTTATACCGACACTCCAGTGAATACCGAAAACCAACATTCCGAATTTGCAGAGAAATCCAATAACAGTCAAAGCTATAGTAATTTCTCCAGAACCCTTTTTATACTTTCTTTAATATTAAATTGTACAAGGTGTCTACCAATTAAAACCTAGAGATATTGAAATATTTTGTAACTAATTGTAGACACCAATAATAAGAGACAAGTTTAGATTTTATGTAATTCCTGTTAAAACTCTAGTCGTAGGATACCACCTTGAGCCAACGCCACTAAGATGCTCAGGTATGATGACATGAACCGACACCAAAATGACGTCCGGGTGACTTTGATTTTTATTTCTCTCATTGCTCTCCTAACGAACAAGACAAATTAAAACAAACAATATCAATCGATCACATACTAAAAAAAAGCAACACTAAAGAAAAAAAAACCTCGTTTAACCAAATCATTGTCATTCGGACTTTATTAACTAAAACAAAAAACGCACTACTATATGACATCAGTATACTAATCAGGTTTGAGATCAGTCTAAAAAATTGAGATTAGCATTTGATATTGCAGCTTGTGACGCTGAAGAGTGGAGGCGCCTGGCACAGGCGACAGCCGAAACACAACGTCTTCTTCCTGGTTTGGGAACACAGATGAGGACACCAAGTGCTCCATTAGGTGCTCCATTAATCCTGTCGCCGAGGATATCCGTCCCAACGACAGGCGCCTCCCTTCTCAATGGATCTGGACCACCAGCTTCTCTATTGTCTGGTGATCCACATGGTCTTATCTACACACATTATCCAGATTATGCCAACTACGCAGCATTAGCATCACCATTACTCACCGAGTATGCTACGGCTGACCATTCTGGTGGGTTGTTTGCGCGTTGACGCTAGGCCGAGAGTCGCTCCTCTCTAAAATGATGAAAGAATTTTTTTTTTTTTTTGAAAAACGTTTCAGCTCCGTTTGTATTAGAATCCGTGCATCATTCCGATATTTGCAGATTTCGCCTCAGGGGATTTTACACTATTTTTCGGTATTGAGACTTTTTGTAAATTTCTCCTTTCTCAGAATGGAAGAATTATTTCAGTCTGCAATATATTCGGAAGATGGACGAATTCGATTATTGAAGTTACAGGGCTGATAGAAAACACTTCATGTGCTTGATTCAATTCACATGAGTACTTGATTATTCTCTTATAGTGTGGATTTCTAGACTAGAAATCCGTTGTCTATTAATATCTAGATTTAGGTGTTTTTAGCAAGAAATTAGAGAAACAGTCAATTGCTAGTCCATCAATTTTTTTTTATTTTTTTTTTTTAATAATTACTATATTAGAGCAACGTATGCGTCGCCCATGAGTATAAGTCACGACTTAAGAACACAAAAAAACAAGAAAGCAGCAACACATGACATTACGTCCAAGTGTAGGTATTTTAATGATAGGATTTTTTTTTAATCTCCGCTAAAGTGCTGCGGTACGAGAATGTATAGCTGTACTAGTCCAAAAGTTTACTTTTTTAAACCAATATTCTTTTTAATGTTTTTTTTTATTCTCTACTATAGAGTAATCGAAAGTTTTAGATCAGGTCCACATGGAAAGAAAAGGCTACTGCGCGTGCGTCAAACTTGGAATGGGGAGCATGAGAGTGAGTGAGAAGTTCAAAACTTTCTCTCTCGCTCTCATTCGCCCCACTCAAACTTTTACGCACGCGCAAAAAAATTTCGAGCTCGTGGATTCCTGTTGTAGATCTTCCATGAAAAAAGGAATATCAATTTTTTTTTGCAAATCTCCGCTTGAGATTTGTAGCGAATACTCCGATTCAGCGCAGAAAAATATCAAAGATTACAAAACAGTAGACTTTTAGTTCTTTTACGCGATTTTTCCTTCGATAAGTCTCGAACACACCGTATTCATTCAGGGAGAATTTCTGTATAGGGCAAAGATATTTTTTTTGCAGGGCTAGTATAGTAAAAAAGTTTATTTAAACATACACTCAGTATTGAAAGAGGCATGGTGTTTAAAGTGGGCCAGTTAATGGTACTGTCGTGCAATTAGTAGCTGGTAATTTTTTTTTTTTACTTCAAGCAGGAAAAATTTATTTCGTCCATAAAAAATTGTTTTTTCATTCATTTGAATATTTCAGTTTTATTTTTATTTATTTCTATTATTTATTTTATTTCTTTTCCTCTTTTATTTTTTACCTCGACTTTTATTAGACTTTTACTATTTTATCTTACGTAGAAAATTTTTACAATTTTTTTTTATACTTTTTGTTTGTCTTTGCTTTATATTTTTCCCTCCTCTTTTAATTTTCTTTTTTAAGAAATTGGACTTTATTCGGGAATCGTACATTGCCGTGCACTACTCAATGCAATAATCAAAGGCCATTCATTGTTGTAGCTATTATTTTTAATGATAATGATAATTATTTTTATTATTATTTACGCGAAAGAAAAATAGATATATATTGTATTTATTGAAAAAAATAGAGATTTAGCGAACTTTAGAGTGATAGCTTTTACAGAAGATTTTTTTATAGAACTATTTCTAGATTTAAATCTCAATACGAGATTGTACCGTTGGATATTGTTAGGAATTTAAGAATTATTATTATAGAATTTTATACTGTTAGAAACTGGAAAATAATAATTTTAAACAAAGAGAGAAATTCGGTGCCAGAGTAAAATTAAAGCATTTCTATTATTTATCTGGAATCGCGTTTTTTCTTTTTTAATTTTCTTTTTTTATATACATACGTATAAATAATATGGTGATGGTCATTAACTTTGGTACTTCGTTCTGCATTTTTTTTTAATAATTTTTATTATTTTCCTTAATATTTTTATTTATTTTTTGTTTCTTTTCTGTTTTATTTAATAAAACATTCGTGCTTGATAAATAATTAAAAAATCAATTTTAACACTACAAAGTACCACTAGAATCTCAAGTAAAAAAAAAAAAGGAAAATCCCTAGGGTTTTGGTATCAACGTAACACATGACTAAAAAAAAAGTAAACAACTAACTCGATCGGTCCGCCTTTGAGAAACTTTTACTTACACAATTGTATATTTTTTTTATTGACGTCCTAATCCGAGAGAAAGAAAATTCCTTCTATTATTTAATTTCTACACGTATAGAATTTAATTATTTTTTGTTTTAATAATCGAGTCATCAGATAGGTCCGCTTATTATCGTACGTAAGTTTGAGCTTTAAACAAATATTCTTGCATATGTTACCCGAGGATATGAGAAAGAAAAAAATAAGGAGCGATCGATAGAGGAAAAAAAAGAATGAGGAAAGACTGAACAAAAAAAAGTGCTTACTCGTGTCCAAGTTTAGCGTAAGATTCTACCTTGCCACGAAAATTTTTAATTTTTTTTTTAATTTGAAGGAAATTAATTAATTTAGTAAATTAAAGAATTAATTAAAGAATTAATCTAGTTTGGAATTAATTTTTTAGAAGAAAGAATATTTGGAGACGAGATGCGTGATAACGAGTACGAGACGTTGAGGAAAGCGCCGAAGTGGTGTCAATGAGAGCAAGAGAGAAGTCTTCGTTGCTCTCTCTTGCTCCCATTGTCCTGACCACGCCCCTAGCTCTCTGCGATTGGCGGGGGAAGAATTTTGAGAGGGGAGCCGCTTCTCTTACTCTCGTGCTCGCTAACAACTCACTTTTATTAAATCGGCAAACTTTTTATTCCGTTTTCCAAGAAAAGGCAGACGCAAGGGAGAAATTGATTTTAATAATTAAAAAATGCTGGTGATAGGTAGGATTATTTACGTAGGATCTTAGGCAGACAGATAGGCGTAGGAAAATACCCAGGGACCAAATATACGTGTTTTCAGGACTGATGGTTCTAGCGCATACTTGTAGCTGTGTAAGCATACCGGAGACTATACGTTTGAATCCATCGAACCAATTTTTTTTTCCCTCGGGAGAAAAGTAATTTTTTTTATCCCCAGTAAAAAAATCGTTATTTTTACCCCTAGTGACAAAAATCGTTATTTTTATCCCTAGTGTAAAAAACATTTTTTTCCCTAGTGACAAAAACACTTTTATTTAAGTTCACGAACAATTGGTAGAGAAAAATTTATACAAAAATTGCAAAAGTTTGCAAAAAAATTAGTTAAAACTATACTTAAAGAGAATTTTAAAGAAAAAAAAGTATTTTTGAAACGAGTCAAAAAAGAGAATACTCCTAGAATGTAAAACGAATAGTTTTCGAAAATATATTATCCAAACACGAACACATAAATACACAGACACACTACATTATACGAGAATCATGTAAATTATTTTATATTATTTTCTATGATTATTTAATTTTTATTTTTTTATATTATTAAAAAAAAGAGAAGATTTTAGCCATTATATTTATATGATGAAGGGTAAAGTGACGGATTTATATATATATACATATATTATATTATATTTAAATTAAATAATTTATAATTATAAACAAAGCATAATTTCAAATACTCAGTGTTGAATCGTGACGAAGAATTTTTTTTTTATTTTTATTTAGTGTCAAAAATCAAAAAGAAGAAAAAAAATAATAAATCTGTTTCAAGCCATATGTTATGAGTGAGACACTCTAAAAAGCCCATAATTTAAATGAGAAGAAAAAGAATACTTTCCCATTAGTGATGGGAATAAATGGCTTTTTGAGTATAAACGAACAACTTCGAAATATACGTATAAACATTTATTTATGTATAGATATTCTAGTTTGTAAGAAATAGTATTTAATGTTTTCTTTTTTCATTGAGAACCTTAACGGTAGGAAGCTTTGTTTCTTTTTTACTTTATTCTACATTTTTTATTTTTATAAAAATATTTTTATAAAACTATTAATATAATTTTATAAAAATAAAATTGTAAAATTTTACATAAATTTTAATTTTGTTCGTAATTTTCGAAATTGTTGCTATTTCGAAAAGGAAAACAGTTTGAAAGTAGAACAAACTTTTTTTAATGGTAACAGGAAACTAAGAGAAGCAGCCCCCACTATGAGCGGTAAGTGGAGGGAGAAGCGTCCGCATGGTGGGGGGCCGCTTCTCTCACAGTTACTCTCGCTAGTTATTCACTTGCAAAAATCGATTATAATTCCAGTTTAAAATAATTTTAAAAAGTGAAAATTTTTCCTGTCACATTTCGTTTTAGATAACAAAGCTTGCTACCCAGGTTTGCTTATTATAAAGCATGAGCTGCAAGAAAAAATATTAAATTAATTTCCATGACGATAATTATTTTATTTTTATTAGTATTATCGTAATTATATTAATTATTAATATTATGATAATCGATAATGATTATAATTATTATGATAATTATTATAATTGCTGTGATAATAATTATTTTATCATTCATATTATTGTAATTATTATAATTTCTTTTGAAATTACCTAATTTAAATTAAATACGCATAATGAAACGAACGAACAAAAGAATACCAGTGAGATAAATTTTTTTTCTCCCAGCTCGTGACTTGTGCGATATATTTTTGTTTTCTTTTCTTTGAATCGCAAAAAAAAAGTTAATTTTTGTTGATGAATGTTAGTTTTTAGAAAGGAAAATGGAAGAAGAAAAAAAATATGATATTTATATTTGAACGAGAATACCGAGGACTATTTTAAAGAGATCTCGGAAATGAGATTTATGTGTGCGGCGTGATTACTGATATTTGTATGTTGGGGACAGGTGCAGCAGCCGCTGCGAAGCAGCGTAGGCACCTGGGTCAAATACGAGAGCACCCTTATCAAAGGGCTGGCGCACTCTCGTGAATACTGAGTACAGAGTCGCGCCTCCGCGGAAAGGTTAGTTTTGCACAAACGTTTCATTTACGTTTATAATAATTTTTTTTATTATTACTTTGTACCGCCTACAAATTATGTATGCGAGAGCTTCCGCATTGCACTCGCCTACTTTTTTTTTGATTGAAAAAAAAACAAAAAAAAAATTGCTGAGGATGCTCTAAAAAAATTTTTTTTTAAACATTTTTTTGAAAAAATTTATTGTTTATTTGAGATATTTATTAAAAAATATTTCTCTTTAAAGTGCATAATAATTAATTAAATATCGAAAAAAAATTACTGTTGTGAAGAATCGAACCCGGTCCTTGTTGTTAGAAATCCGGTAGAGAAGCCACTTAGCCACACAACACTTTTTATTTAGTGAATATAAAATATCATTAATAGTCAATATTTTTAATATTTAGCATTATTTTATAATAGTATAATTATAAAATAATTCTAAAAAAATTATTTTACTATTTCTTTGTTGTAAAATAGTTATTTTGTCAAAAAACTTTTTTTTATTCTTTATCTATTAAATTATTTATTAAAATTATCACTGTACTTAGTAAATTTTATTTAACATTTATTTTGATTTGTTTTAATATTTCTTCTTTTGTATTGTTTTGATATTTCTTCTTTTTATTTTGATTTGTTTCAATAGTTATTTTTTTACGAATATAATTATTATGCAATGATTACAGGATTTATTATCATCAAACAAAAAAGACGAATAAAATATTTGCTAATTATTTTATTTAAAAAATAAAAAATGCTAAGGGAAAAAAAATGAAGAGCATCCTTAGCAGTAGTGCTGTGTGAACGCTCGTTCTGTGTACCTGATACCGCATCTATCGATTCTGTTTATTTGTTGAAAATCGAATTTTTTGTACCTACAGATTATCCCCACGATTATGAATGACACATTTGCCCCGTCCTCTATATTATTTATTTCAAAAGAAGCAATTATTAAATTATTTCCAGTTTTTTTTTCTTCTTTTTTTCTCAATAAGAAAAAGAAGAAGAAAAAACACTTGGAAATATTTTTAAATAAAAAAAAAGAATAGAATTACAAAAATTTTTTGGAACAAAAAATTTTTTTTGGCGTAACTCCCCGCTCTTAGGTCTAAGCAATAATCGCGTGTAAAAGAGAACAGGTTTCTTAATGTTGCTATTTACGCCAGATCGGAGAATGTGGGTGCGCACCTACCTCATCCTCAGAACAAATTGGTAGCAATTCACTGCCCAATTTTTTTTCAGATCTTAAAATTTTTCAATCTTTGAAAAAGTAGTTTTATTTTTTAAAGCAGTAGTTTCAGTATTGAAAAAGAAAATTTTTCTAGGGGGCAGTGTTGTATTTGTGTAAATTACACTGGATTTTTTTTTGGTGCTTATAGTTTAACTTATTTATATCTATAAAAAAAATATTTATATACAAAATGATCATTAAAGTTATGCGAAACTTGTCAAGAGAAAAAATTTTTTTATTCTTACGTTTTCAATTACTATATATTTTCTTTAACGGTTTTGCCCTTGATCATTTTGTATAATTTATACATAAAAATAAATATATATTATATTTACATGCATACAAATATAGTAAGATTTCAAATCCGTCTATTGTAAATGTTTTCCAGGACATGATAATTATTATATTTTGCATTTTGTTAAATTTTTTTTTTCATTTTTTTTCTTGGCAACTTGTGCCTGTGGAACACTTATTGAATTTCCAATTTATTGTGTATACAAATCGACATATATACATATATATATATATATGATTATATATATTTAATTATACGAAGTAAATAAATATTTATATGAAAAAAAAATAACGAGTTTCTTGTTACAAGTAAATTTTGCAGGGGTGGTAACGCGGTACACAACGAAGGTTTCGTGTTTTTTTTCTCTTTATTACTGTCAGTTGAAAAAAGAGACTGAGGGGAGTAGATGAAAAATTGAGAGAAGCGGCCCCCCACTATGCGCCATGGGTGGAGGGAGAAGCGTCCGCGTGGTGGGGGGTCGCTTCTCTTCGCGCTCGCTTGGAATTTTACTTAATTGATTTTAATTTAAATCGAGTTTGAGTCTACTCCTTAGGATTTTCGCTGATGGGAAAAAATAGAGAAAAAAAGTGGAAAAAAGGAGGAGAAAGTAAGAAAAGGTGAAGAAATTTGCACGGCAGGGCGTTTGATATCGTCCAGGAATCGGCGTCCCACCTTTTTTCATGTACTTTTTCACTAACATTTTTTATTTTTTTTAATTTTATTAATTTTATTAATTTTAACATAATCTAAAAAATATAACTACCACCCTTTTAATCATTTAGAACGCAATATCATCCATCTCATAGACTGCACATAAAAAAAACAGTACCATCTATTTAATATTTTATTCGACTAACAAAAATGCTCCACATGGCCAAGTTGACACTAACTTTAATATTTTCCATTAAAAACAAAAAATTAAATCATTTCTTTTGTTATAATGTTCGCTTTTTTATTTTTAATATGCCTGGAAGTAATTACTTTTTTTTCTATTAAATCTGAGCGTAACTCATGAGCCTCTGCGCCACTTGCTTGCTGATGGGAAACAATTAATCACTATTTTAATTAATTAATAATAATAATGATCGCATGTGTATGGCGGACGGTGTGGCGAGAACAGTTGCGCGCGCCGCACGTGGGAGGGGATAGCGTGTATGCGCGCGCAACTTTCTCAATGACGCTAAACCGAACTCTGTATTATTGCAGTAACTAAAAATCCTGGTACCTCGACGACAACGTCACTTACTAAGCACTGCTACTTGGTGACAGGTGCACACCCAAGCTACCTCTAAAATTCGATCAATTCAACAATTTTTTTTTACCTGTCTAATTAATAATAAAAAATAATTAATGCTTATTCTGAGCTGGGTTGCAACTCCTGTTCTACTCTTAATAACGTTTCTTTAAAAAAATATTGTCGAACCAATTACTTTTTTTTTTAAATCATTAACTTAAAAAATATTTCCTAGTCTCTTATGCCTGTCCTATGCGCGGGGAGGGTACACGAGCCACATATGAAAATAATTACTTAATAATTGTGTGAGAACAAAAAAAAACTTTCCTGCCATTTATTGTAACAAGGCGCAGGTTTAATATAGTAACCGTTGTAAATGAGGACCTTTTTTTCATTCAAATAATTTTACATGTACGAATCAAAATGCTTCAAACTAATCAAAAAAAAAAAAAAAAAACTTTGACATTATGTGTAAAGCAATGCTACCCCTTCATATTCGTACTCTTCTTAATTCCTTTGTTTCGATAGTGGAAATAATTTTCAAATTTTTTTAGCGACACTGCATATCTGAAAAATATCTTTGAGATTATGTTGAGTGTCATAACAAGACTGTTGAACCCGAAATTTTATTGGTTAGTCTGGACAAATGGTGACACTTGTCCAGCACTGAATTTTTTGTTTAAATTACTAAAATTTCGTAAAAAAAATTGGTATTGGTGCTAGTAACTTTTATTTACTTCTACCCTTCATTTTGTTTTTTCTCTTTCTGTCGTACTAAATGAATAAATATAGAAAAGGAAAATGTCGGATTGAAGGTTAGCCAATCCCAATTGACGAAAAAAATATTAAGGGTCCAACAGTATTAGTTTAAAAAAATCTAACAGAAGAAAAGGAATTACACTGTTTGCTATTTCTGGTAATGGTTATAACAAAAATTTTTGTACAATTAATATCGAGTGGATTAAAAAGAAAAATAATATAGCGATTCTTATTCTTTTGTTCTGTCAATGTAACAATTAATTTTGTTGATAAAAACAACAAAACTAAAATGTAACGCGTTGGAAAGAAATGGAAGAAGAAAAATTTTATAGGTTATGTTTTGAGCCTAAAGGTCAATGCACAATAGGTTTGCGAATAAGGCGCATGAGATAGTAAAGGACAAAACTATATGATTGTCCTTTTCTAGCCCATGCTTCGCGTTTGCTGTCGCATTGTGCATTGGCCTTAAAGTAAAGGTAAAGAAGAAAGATAACATAACCTATAAATTTTTGCTTCCCAGGTCCCTTTCTTCATGACGCGTCACATATTTTATGCATTTTTTTGTACGTATATAATAATAATTGCGAGAGCATTGCTTTTCATTAACCATTATTTCTCTCAGCTGATGAGCTATTTTAGTAAATTATTAATAATAATAATAATTTGTTAACGTCGGTTCATAATCAAAATTACTAACAAACTGTTTTTCTTTTCTTTCTTGTTAACCCTGGTTGCCCATGGCCTGTAGGCTTGGAGTGCTAACAATGGAATCCACTCGCCCCGTGCTAACACCTGGACTCTGGAACAGCATCCGCGTTTGATTGGTTCGACACAACCAGCCGACAGACCTTCGCCGTCCGCGTCACCAGCCCTGTTCGTCAAGCTTATCCATCCTGCCAAAAAAAAACAAAAAAAAAACTCCCACACACAAAAAAATAACCCAGAAAATCCTTTCTATATCCAGATGTCAAGTATCTTAATAATTTAATAATTTTATTGGGCGCCGGTTATAATTACTTTAAAACACAAGCTCTGTACTTTTTTGGGGTGATAAGAAATTTTACGATTTCCTCCTGCTGGTAATTAAATTAAATTCAAAGCCAGTGAACTTTGATTAGGAGAAGCGTCTTCCCACCATTAAATATCTTGTTGGACTGCAACGAACGGAGTGGGGATAATGAGAGCGAGAGAGAAGTGCCGGACTTTCTCTCTCGCTCGCATTGCCCCCACTCCTCCGCTTCCTAAAAGAGCGTCGCACGCGTGGTGGGGAGAAGCTTTCCTATTGGTACGCAACCCATAAACCTGGTTTAAAACACTTTAATGTTTAAAAAACAATGTTAATTCGATACAAAAAAAATTTTTGCATTAAAAAAGGAATTTTTTTTCTAAGTAAAAGAGTATTTTCATAATATTCCTTTCTAAGAAAAAAAATTTTCTTTTCCCATTCTAAGGAAATATTTTCATTTAAAAATGTTTTCCTTTAAAAAAAAGAGAAGAAAAAGCTCACTTTCAAAGCAGGGGGAAATAAATTATTTTTTTTTTTAAGAGCAAAATAACAAAATTGCAGTGCGTTGTAGGAAATTTTACAGGTGGCCCATCTACAGAACTAGTCGAATCGAGATTGAACGACGAAACACTTTTTGGCTTCCACAGTACTTATATTTTTATCGAGAGTATAAAAAAAATTTTTTTATAATTTTAGGTATTTTAATGTGAAAAACAATTTAAAAAAAAAGTCACACGAAAAGAAGGTACATCATGGAAAGCATCGTCTATAAAGGAGGGAAGAACAAGGATTGTAATTCTTTTTAATTTTTTTTTTTTTTCTTTAAGTTACGTTATGAAAATAATCATTTATTTTTTAATCTGAAATCTTGAGAAAAAAATACATTTATCACAGGAATCTCAAAACTCAGATTAATGTTTAGTTAGTTTATTCTTGTTTCATATTTTTTTCTGTCTCTTTTTGAAAAGGTTTAAAAACAGTCAAAATTATAAATATTTCTATTTTACTAATAAGGACAATTTTCAAAAACTCTTTAAACTGGAAATTTTTTTTTTTTGTAAAAAAATGTTTTCTTTTTGATATTATATAACTATTAGGAATCGTCACCAGAAATTTTCGTGTCTTTTAACGAATTATGAATAAAGAAGTTTTCGTACTGAAAAACAAAAAAGTAAACGGTTTGATTCTAAAAATGAAAAAATATAAATTTTGTTTCTAAAAAAAAGGGTATTTTGTTTTTGAAAGACAAAAAAGTAACAATTTTTTTATTAAGGGCATTTGAACCATTATGACGTCACAATTTGCGCAAAGCATGTGTTCCAAAATTGTGACGTCATAATGGTTCAAATCCCCTTAAAAAAGAAAATTTATATATTTTTGTACAACGTCGATTTTGTAAAACAAAAAAAAATATAAAATTTTGTTTCAAAAAACAAAAAAAAGTATACATTTTGTTTCTATAAATAAAAAAAAGTATAAAATTTTATTTAAAAAAAAAAAGTTTAAATTTTGTTTCTAATAGCAAATTTTGTAATATTTTGTTCTTTAAAAATCAAGTTTATACATTTTTTTTCTTTTTTTAAATAAAAGTTTATACTTTTCTGTTTTTAATAATACATTAACAAAAAGTGTAAATTTTGTTTCTAGAAACAAAAAAATGTATAAACTTTATTTTTGAAGAACAAAATAATAAAAAATTTGTTAATAGAAACAAAATTTATACATTTTTTGTTTTTTGGAACAAAATTTTATACATTTTTTTGTTTTTAAGGACCAAATTTTATACTTTTTTTTGTTTTTAGAAACAAAATTTACACTTTTTTGTAATGTATTATTAAAAACAGAAAAGTATAAACTTTTATTTTAAAAAACAAAAAACGTCTAAATTCTATATTAAAAAAAGGAAACAATGTATAAATTTTGTTATTTCAAAAATTTGAATTTTTCGATTTTCAAAAATGAAATTTATAATTTATTATTCTTTAAAATAAAATTTGAACCTTTTTGTTTTTTTATAACGTTGTTTACAAAAATAAAAATATATAAATTTTATTTCAGAAGAATAAAAAAATATAAATTTTTGTATTTTAATAACAATTTTTTCTTTTTTTTTTCTTTTTCTAGAAACAACATTTACACTTCTTTCTAAAACATTGTTTTTAAAAAACCGAAAATATATAATTTTGCCTATACTTTTATTATTTTTTATAAGTATAAATTTTGTTTTGTAATAACAAAAATTATTCTCTTTCGTTTTTCAAAAAAAAATATATTTATAATTTTGTATAACGTTGTGTTTCAAAGAACAAAATTTACACTTTTATATATATCGTCGTATTTTCAAAATTAAAAAAGTGTACATTTTGTTTAAAAACAAAAAAAGTTAAAATTTTTTTTAATAAATGTTTTCTATTTTGTTTTTCAAAAAAATATATTTATAATTTCGTATAACTTTGTGTTTCTAAGAACAAAATTTACACTTTTTTCTATAACATTATGTTTTCAAAAACAAAAAAGTATAAATTTTGTTTTCAAGAACAAAGAACAGTAAATTTTGTTTTCAAAAAACAAAAAAACTGACATTTCGTTTTATTTCTTTTTCTTTTACGGTGACGTTTCCTGGATATTAAAAAAATTGTGAATTTTTAATACTATATTATTACTATTATTATTATTATTATTTTTAATATTATTATTATTATAAATATTATTATTTTTATTATTATTCTATTATTATTATCATTATTATTAATATTATTATTAATATTAATATTTTTAATATTATTATTGAATATTGTGAAATTTTGTTTATAGTTCTATTTGCAGGAGCGATGACGTGAGAGATTGATTTACTTAACGTTGAATACAATTATAATATTATAAATTGTTAACGTTTAGGTCTGCCATAAAAAAGTGACGATACAAAATATTGTAGTTATATTATTATTATTAATGTATAATTGTACACGTTGATGCTCCTGTGCCTATTTTGTTAATTAAGTTAAGTTGCAAAAAAAAGAGGATTTTTTTTATTCGTCAAATCCTGTATAATGTTTCGTCATATTGTTGTAAATACGTGTTTAAAGCATAGTTATATACACCAATTTATTCATCAGTGATCTGCAAATCTACTTAAGTTCTAATCGTGGATTTATTTTGACAAAATACATCTCTCATATTAATTTCTCAACTATATATATATATTATTATGTCAATATACGTAAATGATATAAAATTTATATATAGAGATTATTAAGAATTTCTGATTTAAAAAAATGGACAATTTATTATAAAAAATATTTATTTATAAAAAATGAACATTTTTTTCGTAAGTATGTGATGAGAAGAAAAAATGACACGAACAAACAAACAAATTATGTTAGAAAACTGATGAAAAAAAAGTTTGTTAGTGTCAGATTTAATTTTTTTTTCTTTTGGGATTTATTCTCATTTTTTCTTAGTTTGATATTTTATTGTAAAGTTGGCACGCACTTTGGCACGTGCAGGATATCGTGGCAATATTAAAAAAAAATACGGGCAGCAATGCAAATAAATAATACTTTTTTTATCTCTATAAAGATCTGATTATTATATATTTGAATATATATAGATATATATAATAAATCGTATTATTTTCTGAGAGTTTATGGCTATAGAAAAATAGGTAGAAATAGAAAAAATATTAAAAAATAGATATCTACAAATATATTATATTTTATAATTCTGGTTTTGCCAGTGTTTATTGTGAAAATATTTCTCTTTATCATGATTCAAAAAGTGTTTTTCTTTTTTTTTATCCATTCGAATATTATATGTGGGTTTTTTTTTCATTTCCTTATATTTAAATGTGTGATAATCTAAGACAAAAAAAACGATATTGCATAATTATTAATCTATTAGTAGAGTATATATTTATGCAGTACCAGAATTATAATCTCATTATATAGATGTATTTACTGTCGGAGATAAAAGAAAATTGCAAAAAATATAATTTAATTTTGACTTATAATAAAAAGAAACAATTTTTTTTCTGAAAGTTTAATTTTCTTTTTTATATTATTCACACGCAAAAATAGTTGATATTGTATTAATTGTGTAATTTGGAAAATTATTTTAGAAAACGTACAATATATAATTATCGTTTTTTTTTCTCGATCAGTGACAGATAAATATTTTTATTACTATTGTTACATTGGAAAATTGTTTTTTCGAGTAATTGACACTTGAATAAAATTGAAAAATCGAAAGAATTGTTGTTTTTATTCACGCCGCTTATAACCATGTATTTTTTATAGCGACTTTAATTTTAATTTTTTTTTAATTATTCAAAAATCGAATTTAAATAATTTTAGAAAATTTTTTAAGTTGATTAAGAATTCAAAAATTAATAAAAAAGTTTACTTGGAATACGTTAAACATTTAATTGTCTTCAATTTAATTTTACGAAAATTCAATTATTTGAAAAATTAAATTATAAATAATAATTAAACTAATTAAATAAGCTGAAATCATCGAAAGCTCTAAACCTCGAAAGCTGAAATCCCCGAATGCTCTAAACCTCGAAAGCCGAAATCCCCGAATGCTCTAAACTAATGTTCCCGGGAACATTTTCACGTGGGGCAGTTAATTTTCATTAATTTATATTTTAAAATTTACACTTGAATATTTTCTGTTCGAATTTTTGAGAATTCAATTGTTTTCAAAATTTGTAATTAAAATTCATTAAAAGTTATTGATTTTTAAAAATTGTAATAAAATACTTGAAAATAATAAATTGTTTTCAATTAAATTTTACAAAATTTTAGTTATTCTAAATTTTTTAATTAAATTTTTTTGAAAAATTAATTAGAAAAATTATTCAAAAATAATTTTTAAAAAGTTTGTCTGTAGTTATGTTAAAAAAAAAGTCGAAAAAAGTCTTAATAATCATAATATCCAAGGCATAATTAATAAATAATTAACGCATTTGTTCTTTAATATGAATTTATAGTTTAATATAATAATTATTTTAGGAACCCTGAATTGACGAGAATTTTCATCAATTTATTTCTTACATTCATTATAATTTGTCAAATATAAAATAGAATAACTTCACTGTAATTTTTTTTTTGTTCATTTTTGTCCAATTTTAAATTTTAACTTTGTCAAATAAAAATTCAAATAACTTTACTGTAATTTTTTTTTTATTTTCACTTTTTGTCCAATTTTATATGCCGGTTTTTTTCGTTTCCTGGGGAAAATAATTTTCTCCTCACCAGTTTCTTTCGCACACATTTCTTTCGCAACCAAACTCATTTTACTTGAACTCAATTTAATATTCTTCAAAACCAACGGTTCAAATTCTTTAAAAAGTCCAATAACTTTTGACGACAAACTAAATGGAATATCATTATCGAGAAAGAGTTGTGTAATCTTATGCTCGGCATCACGTACTTTTTCCTTAAATGTAAGACCCTTTGTTTCAATGGTACAATCATCATCATTTTCATTTTTTATCTTAATATCTAAAATATTATTCTTTTGATACAATATTCCTATATTGTTATTTGATAAATTTGATACATTATCAATTATACAGCCGTAACGTAACATTTTTATGGAGATTTCCTTCTTTTTTATGTGCTTTATTGTTTCCTCGTGTTTACGAATTTCCTTTCTGCCGCAACTCAATGTTTTGTCACAATATTTACAGTAAAATTGCGAATCATTTTTTATTCTTATAACCCATTCCTTCCACGATGGAAACTCGTCAAACCATTCTTGTTGGAAACTTTTTACACTTTTTCTCTTTTTGCGCGCTACTTTTTTAATTGCTGATTCCCCCTCTGCATTTGTCACTTCCTCATTTATTGACATATCTGTTATTATTTCCTCTGTCACCGATTCCTCATCGTCTGACTCAATGTTTTGTTTAAAAACATTTAATTCCGCCATATTAAAATTAAACTGAAATTACAGACAAAATTGATAAAAAATTTTCTTTCCTGGCGCAATTACGAAAAAGTTATTAAAAATATTTTCTTAAATTTTCAAAAATATTATTAGAATTTTAAAAATATTTTCTTAAATTTTCAAAAATATTATCAGAATATTAAAAATTTTGTTTTATAAACGTTTTTTTATGCACGAAATTGTAGTGCCCCTGTATCTTGACAACCCGACACTATTGTGTCAAAATGGTCAAAATATTATTAAAACTCAAGTTATTAACAAATCGTTTAATATACATTTCTATTGTGGGAGCAGTTAAGAAATTCTATTTTCTAAATTAAAATTAAAAATTTACCTTGTAGTTTTAAAGAAGCAGCAGTTGTTTTTATTAAACAATCAAGAGGACATAACCTCTAAATTGTCAATCTTCTTTGGTAAATATTCAATACTCTCAACACTGTCACTTAAATTTATTAAAATACTATATCTGCACAACAATACATTTACTTGTAAAATGTAAAAATTATACTTTTCTTCTTTTGAGAGAAATTATATAAACATTTCATTTATAACAATTTCTGACGTTTTCCTATGTAGAATAGTATTGTTTATAAAAAGCAAGGTTGGGTCGTTGACTCGTGCAGATATTAGGATCAATTCATACGGTCTAAGAATAGCAAATTCGCGCGCTTCTATTGGACAAATCTGAGATTATGGCTGATCTGCAAGTAAAATCTGAAGGCTGGTTCACAATTATTTTCGTTTACGCAGTAAAATTCAGCAAATTACCTACCAAACGCTGTTTAGCATATTAATTTCCACGATTTCCAAGTATTTTTCTTTTAAACTTTATTTTTAAAACGTGGTGATTTCTGTGAGTTTTTGATAAAACTAAATATGAATCATGTAAGTCAAAAATTTCAACTCGTAAGTGGAAATTTTATGCCGCTTGTTGGAAGTAAGTAATTTAATAATGGAAATAAGTTAACAACATAACCTTAAAATCAGTTTCGTGCAAAAGGTGCAAAATTTGAAAATATTACAATTTTAAACCATATTTTATATATTTTCAAATCAAAATCTTTTGGATCAGTAAAAAAAAGTAATGAAATTGTCTTCATTATGATACTGTTATGAATTTCTATATAAGCATAGAATTTAAATGTATAAAACGAAATATTTTTAGTTGGAACCTTTCGAGTACACAGTCAGCATATTTTTAATGTTCTCGACGAAGCTTTAAAAGCAGGATATCGGTCAATTGGTAAGTAATTTCGGATTCTTGAACTATTATTATTATCAGGGTTATCACAGCTCAGGGAATTCAGGGAAAATTCAAAGATAATTTTTTGTGGCAACCCTGTATTATTAACTATTATTTATTCCTTATTGCATTTTTAAGCGAAGGATTAAATTTCCCCGATCGATATGATCGATATTAAATATAATAAAATTAATGTTTTCAGACACTGCTGCTGTTTATAGAAACGAAGATGCAATCGGAGCTGCTCTAAAGATATTGCTTCCAAAATATAATCTTAAAAGGGAAGATATTTTTATAACAACCAAACTTGGTAAGTAATTTATTTGTTAATTAACTTATTTGGTAAGTAATTTACTTGTTAAGTAACTTACTTGTTTTTAAGTAATCTAACCGAGTAAGTTTGCTAAAATCGAAATAAATGAAATCATTAGATAAATTATTTAATTATAATAAATCTGCTTCGAATAAAATAGATCCAGTTGAAAATGGAAATCCAGAAGGTGTACGACGAGCTGTTCGCAATTCATTAATGGCCCTACAAACCGATTATGTCGATTTGTATTTAATTCACTGGCCGGGCGCAGGTAGAATTCACGCAAATTCTTCTCTAAATACCGAATTACGTACTTTAACTTGGAAAACTCTGGTAGAACTGCATCAGCAAGGTTGCTTAAAGTCCATAGGCGTTTCTAATTACAATATCAATCATCTTCAACAATTGTTTAAAAATTCTGATGGTGTTAGACCATCTGTCAATCAAGTAAGTTGTCTTTTCATTAAATAATTATAAAACTAAGTAAAGAACATAGTTCTAAACATTAAAATGAACAAAATTTTATTTCTGATTAAATAATTAAAAAAAATAATGTTTCGAATAGTGAATCAGAATATTTTTTAGTGACAGGGAGGAAATCAGAATTCTGTCTTGAAATAAAGAAAAAATCAAGTCAATATAAAAAATCTAGTTATTAATTAAAAAAATGTATAATTAACAGGTAGAATGCCATCCTCATTATCGACAGGACGAACTATTGAAATTCTGCACTGAAGAGGGAATTCATCTTCAAGCATATTCCTCATTAGGAGGAAGTGATAATGGAGCTCTTTTAAATGATTCCACTGTTCGTAAAATATCCTCAAATCTTAACGTATCACCGGCTAGATTACTTTTAAAATGGGCTCTTCAGCGAGGAATTGGTAAATTTTTCTATATTTCGAATTCACTAATCAGGAAATAATTTCAATTTGCAGGAAAAGTTAAAAATAATTAAAATTTTTTTCGCAGGCATCATTCCTAAGGCACAGAGTGCAAATCATATTCAAGATAATTTAAAACTTGATTTCACAATTGATCAAGAATCAATGAAGTTACTGTCGAATTTACCAGAAAGAAAATATGCCTGGGATCCAAGTTCCGTCAATTAAAAACTAATTATAGCGAAAATATAAATTTTTGTAAATAATAAAAATAAAAAAATATTTCCTTCAATTCAAAAAAATATTAAATTTACAAAAATTTGAAATTCGATTAAATAGAGAATAATTTACAGAAATATTTAAAATTGAAAATAATAAAGGGAAAAAAAATGTTAGAATTTGCCAATAAAATAGCAAAATTATGCCTTGATAAGTACAAAACATTGAAAAAAACTGGAAAACCAACAGCGAACGAATGGACAGTTTTGTCGGGAATTATTTTAGAAAATAATAAACAATTAACAGTAGTTGCCTTATGTACAGGGACAAAATGCCTAAGCGGTAGAGAATTAATAACAACGAAAATTGACGAGATTGGAAATAAATTGAGTGATTCACATGCCGAGATACTTGCTCGACGTGCATTTCAAAGATATTTATACAGTCAAATTGAATTGATTATGAATAGTAAAGAGAGTGATGTATTTTTTAAGAAAAAGGAAGGGAAAATAGAGTGTAAAGAAAATGTTTCATTTCATTTTTTCTCCAGTCAGACACCTTGCGGTGATTGTTCAATTATTCCGAAAAGACATTCAAACTCTGGTGATGATAATGGAAGAGAGATTAAAAAAATGAAATTAAATGAAAGTGAAAAAATTGAGGAGACAATTGAATTTGAAAATGATATTCATCGAACGGGAGCGAAATGTATAAACAATGATGAAAGACAGGATTTACATTTATCGGGGGAGAATTATCATGTAGTTGGACCATTGCGCACGAAACCGGGGAGAGGAGATCGAACAATGAGTCTTTCTTGTTCGGATAAAATGGCAAAGTGAGAGAATATCTTAATTTATCCTTTTTTTGAAAAATAAATTAATGTACTGAAAATCATTGAATTCTTGTAAAGTATTTTTCAAAAAAAATGTTTAAATAATTGGATTTTATGGAGAATTCAATTATTTTTAATAATTGTAATAAAATTCTTTAATCAATTTATAAATAATAAAAATTTTCGTAAACAATTCAATTATTTTTATAATATATTTCGTAAAAATAATGTAATTTTTTAAAGTACCTAATTTTAATGGAAGATTTTGAAAATAATTGAAATTTACAACGAATTTTATTAAAAACTTTTGAGAACAATTGAATACTCTAGAAAAATTGTATTACAACTTTTAAAAATAATTGAACCTGTTAGAGAAATTTTATTAAAATTATCTTGAATATAATTGAATTTTTTTCCTAGAAATTTTATTGAAATTGTATTGAAAATAATTAAATTTCTCAGAAGAATTTCTAATTTATGTAAATAAATGAAATAATACATTTATGATATAAATATATAAATAGAAAGAAATAAATAATAAATAAAATTAAAAATAAAATATAATTACGAACTTTCTTGAAATAAATTCAGGTGGAACGTTGTTGGAATTCAGGGATCATTATTATCTCTATTAATTCCTGAAATAAAACTAAAGACAATAATAATTGGAGGTAATTGTCCATTTTCTCTGGAAGCAATGGAACGCGGTCTATTCAAACGATTCGATAATTCAACTGGACCGAGAATATTTCAATCGTCATTTTCATTTGACGAAATAAAAGGCGAAACAAGACAAAATCCCTGTCCTTCTAGTATTATTTGGTGCTCAGTTTCCGAAAGGTAGGAAAAATACAATTCTTTCTCTTTCATTATTAATTTTTATCACAAAAAATATTCTTTTCAATATTAGATATTAAATTGTATGTAATTTTGTATAATTTTCTACTTTTGAAGAAATCTCGAAATTGCCGTCAACGGAAAAAAACAAGGCGTGACGAAGAAAAAATCGGGAATTTATCTTCTCGTCAGTCGACGTGGATTATTCAAGATATTTATGAAAATTTACGATAAACATTCAAAGGATATTGAACTACCACAGCATCCGAAAAAAATTACTTATCAACATTGTAAGAACTGGTCGCATTCCTATCGAAACTTATGGCACGAGGCGAAAATTACCACTTTTGATAAATGGCCCACAAAACCATTGTCATTGCAGAATTTTATATTATAATTGTTTTATTTTTCTACTCATGGAATTCTATTGTTTGTTGCTCTTAATAAAAAAAAAAAAATACGATAAATCTGTCGAATTTTTTCATTTGTTATTTAGAAATAATTCTAATTTAAAAAAAATACAAAATAAATCAGTAATGATTAAATGAAAAATTGTTTCTTATATTTACAGTAAACAAATAATTGATTTTGAATTAAAATTTTTACCTCCAACTTCTTATCGAACTGGTTTATTATAATTGGAAAATCCAATTCCAATACAAGTTAAAGTCACTTGATTCTCCATTGTCACTGTATCGTCCTCGTCTTCTTTGACAAATTCCAATTGGAATTTAACACCGAAGAAATCTTTTAAATCGCGTAAAAATTGAATCCTGGAAAGAAAATTCAAAATAAGTTAAAAGTAAAATTGCTTTTGAAAATTTATTTCAAAATTTTAAATCATTATTACAAATAAAAATAAAATTATAAATGAAATTAAATAAATTTAATTTAATAAATTGTAAGATTACTGAAAATATTCTTGAAAAATTTTTCGCGACTTACATAACTGGAGTTAGGGGTCCAGTAGTAATTTTTGAAACATCTTGTTTGCCTAGTGCCATAAAAAGTGCAGTTATCATTTGGAAAGGAGAATCCACACATCCATTTCTGTAAAAATAAAATTTCTATTTATACTTTTTTACTGTATTTTTAATCCATTTTTCATTTTGACTAATGGAAATTTTTTTTCAAACTTTATTTAAAAACTAATTTAAAGAAGCAAAAAGTAATAATTCCAAGATTAAAATACAATACAAAAAAGAATTAATAAAAAAAAATTACATATAATGCAAAAGTAATGAATAAATGAATTAAATAAATATGAAATAAATGAAATAAATATGAATTAAATAAAATAATAATAATAAAAAAACGGACCTGTGTATTTCATCTAATAATTTTAAGGCGGCTTCTTTCCCTAAATCTTCGGGAATACAGGGCAAACCTCCAGGTGGAACAATCGGCGAAACAGATTCGCCACAATAAACAACTCCCGTTGTTGTCTCGGCAGATAAACAAATTCCAAAACCTTAAAAGAAAAAAAAAACTTAAAATTTTTAATTGAAAACAATTTGGCTAATTTCTGGTAGTTTTTAATCTTCAAAGCATTAAATTAGAATTTCATTAATATTTAAAAATTACAAACATTAATATAGAAGAAAATTAAAAGAAATTACCTGGTGATTTTCCACTGACAGCACCTCGACTCGCATCAGTGTGAATATAAACGTCGGGAATAAAATTTAAACAAACTCCCTTCGCAGATTCGACGAGTCGATTTGAAATTGCTGGCGAAACTCTTAAACTACAAGCAACGCCTCTTATTCGTTTCACTAAACCGCTATCTAGTAACTAAACATATTTTCCTTTTAACATAATTTAATTAATTTTAATTATTTAATTGAATTTAATGATATTGAGTTATTAATCAAATAAATGAATTTAATTCAATTTTATAAGTTAAAAAATTTGAAATATTTAAAAAAACTTTTCTAAATTAAATACCTGTAAAGTTCTAAGACTACGAATCACTGGACATTTCAAATGCACTTCCCCACCTCCTAAAGGTGCGACACCTCGCTTTTTAATTCTCAATTCAATTTCATAGGCAGGTCCAAGAAATTGTTTAACAATTGGAATTCCCGAAGATTTTATTCTATCAATACTTGGATCTGGAAAATGCAAATTTTATTAATATTCTAATTCTAATTATTAAACTTTTAATAAACTATTAAAATTCTAAAAGACAAAAATTAAAATTACTATTATATATAATTAAAATTATAAAAAAATATAATGAAAAAAGATTTTTGTTAAATTAGATAAATCTTTATTGAACGAAAATTTATTAAATTATTTTCTATAATTTTTAAATAAAATTCTCCTTTAAATCAATTATTTTTCGAGAAATTTGATTAAAATTGTATGAAAAATAATTGAAATGCTAATAGATGTTTTATTATTTACGAAAATAATTGAATTATTGCGAAGAACGTTACCCAGTGTACTATTTGTGATTCCTTTGAATTTGACACTTAACGATTGTTTACAAAATGGTGCCAATGCCAATGCAACTTCTAAATAATACGAAATAGAACGTTGTAAACTACAATCATGTTCAAATTCACCACCTTCCAAATTACCCGGAACATAATACAACGATGTTCCTGTTTCGTTCACTTCTGCTCTCATTCCATTTGAAATTTTTCTCAAAAACGTCAATAAATTCAATTCGAATTCTGAAAATTTAGGAAAATAAATCCAAATTCATTATTATATAATAATAATAATAATAATAATAATAATAATAATAATAGTATCATTATTATAATGATATATAAAACATGAATTTAAATGATTAAAAAATTTACAATTTTGACGATAACTGTATGAATAACTTTCTAAGTTTAATTATATTTAATCATTTATTAGCTATTTTAAAAAAACAAGTTAAATAATTAAATTTTACTGTATTTCTATATTATATTTTCATAATTATATATTTATATTTAATAAAGCCAGAAAGATATATTTAAAAAATATGACAGTAGAAACTAACCTCTAATACCAGGATCATCATGTTGACTTCTTATGTCTTCTATTTTCACCGATTTACCGGACAATGTCGACAGAATAAGTCTATTTTTCATGTAATTACAACCCTCGTATATGAGAATATTGTGCTTTACTTTGGCAGGCATTTTAACAATTATAAATATAAATTAATAACAAAAGCACGTGTCTTGCATCCGCGTTCTTTAAACATGCAGAGATAGGTAGTTACAACAATAAACATTCGTTTCCCGAATAAAAAAACATGAAGTAGATTGTGAACGTACCCTAAAGGTGCAAATACGTGAAGTTGGACAACTTTTTTCAGTTTCTCAACCTTGCAACATCACATGATGTCACTCCTATGTTCCCAACCCTGCCCGCAAAGAACTGTCAATTTTAATTAAAGAAAAACATTTTTTTATTTATTATTAAAAGTGTCACTGCAAAACAAAACTGAATTAATAATTGAAAATAAATAATTTATCGAAAATTTTCACAATTACCATTAATATTTTTTTTAGTACAAAATTCCAATAGTACTTTTAAAAAACGATTGGATTGTAAGAAAACAAATGCCATTATATAATCGCCAAAAGGAATCTTAGTATAAAAGAAAGTAATTAGGATTTAAATACAAAATATTATTTTAACTAATTCAGTAAATACAGCCCTGGAAAAAAGAAAAACTTTTGTCGTGTACATAAAAACACGGAAGTCGAACACTTAATTGTGTGTGATTTTTTTTCTTTCATTCCACGTGTGACGAATGGAAACTTAATTAACTTAATTAATCAAAGAAAAGTTGCCAATTTTTTTTCTCGTGTCCATTAAAATTTTCTATGGTAAAATATCGAAACTAGTGTTAATTTTCTTATAATTCTCCAAATTCAAACTATATAACTCATATAGAATTTCACGATTGTATTTGTGTTTGTGTGAGTGCGTTTCTATCTTCAGCCAATGGCGAGACGACAAATATGTTTTTCCGTGATGTCGCATTATGTATATATAAAATACATTGAGAGACTTATTACTTTGATAAGATCAAATTAGAGGATATAACGTCAAGACAATTGTATAAAAAAAAATTAACAATTTTTCGAACAGTATTTTTTGTTTGTTTCAGTGAAAGAAATTGCAATTATCACTCGTGAGTTTTATTGTCAAAATTTTCCAAGCTGTCAAACGATTTTCGTTATTATTTTTTTATTCGTAAGTGTAAAAAAGAAACGACAAGAAGTGAATTAATATTTATTAGCCTCGGTTTTCTTATCGACTTTTTCCTGCTTTTATACACGTAATTGGTTTTAAATTTGTTTCCTTCTCTGTAAAAATACACAAACTCTTCAAAAATGGAAACTGCTGGTGTTCGATTAATAATAAAGGCTCCGAATCAACAAATTGAGGATCAAATTGTCATTTGCGAACTTGGTTGGACAATTAGGAAACTCAAGGATTATCTAGCCGAAGTTTATCCAAGTAAACCCGTAAGTTTACATTTTATTCAATAAAAAATCTATTAATATTTCTCTATTTTTTCTCGTATTCTCTTGTTTTTCTTTTATATAGATACATTAGTCTTGACGTCAGGCAATAAAAAGAATAAAATCCAATTGTTAAAAATACATTTCTTTTCTATTCGAAAATTATAGAGTTGAACTAAAAAAAATTAGATAGAATTTTTTAAATATTCAACTGTATTTTTACCTTTATTTCAATATACAATTTTTAAAAAATTATAAATTTTGTAGTTTTGTAATATTTTATTCTTACAATTCAAAATCGTTTTTATTTTACAAAACTTTTTATTTATGTTATAATTTTAAAACATGAAAAAAAGACTTCATGATAAACAATAAAAATGTACAATATATTTTTGTATTTATTGATAAAAAACGAATACACGATGAAGTAATAAATGCAAACAGGAAAATTTTTTAATATCTTCTATATTAATAATCGTTGTGTTCCGGTAATCTGTTCGCAATTTGAAGTTAGTTTTTGTTTATTTCTTTGTTTCGAAACTTTTTTAATAATTTTTCATTTTAAAGTGTTTTCAATTTTAAAATTAATGTACTGAAAATCATTGAATTCTCGCAAAGTATTTATTAAAAACTTTGAAAATAATTTAATTCTTTCAACGAATTTTAATAACATTTTTAAGAATAATTACATTTTTCGAGGAATTCGATTAAAATTGTATTAAAAATAATTGAAATTCTGCAATGAAATTTATTATTATGAAAATAATTGAAATATTGCGAAGAATTTTATAAAAAAGTTTCAAACAATTGATTTTTTTCGAAAAAATTTTATTTTTAATAATTGAATCCATGTGAAATTTTCATTATTTTAGAAAATAATTGAATATTCGTGTAGAATTTTTACAAAATTGTTTTTAAATAATTCGATTCTTTTGGGAAATTTTATTAAAATAATAAATACACAAATTATTGAATTAAAAGAAATTTTTGAAAATATGTAATTGAAATTTTGCCATAAATTTAACTAAAATTTTGGAAAGTAATTTAATTTTATTACTTTTGAAAATAATTGAATTCTTGTGATGAATATATTGTTATTTATGAAAATAATTGACTTTCTCCGTATGATTTTATTATTTATAAAAATAATTAAATCCCTGAAAAGAATTTTAAAATTCATGTAAATAATTGAATTACTGCGAAGAATTTAATGCCAAATTATAAAACATTTAATTTTTTCAAAGAAATTTATGCAAATTCTATTTTAAATAATAATTGAGTTCCTGTGCAATTTATATTTTTTTGAAAAATAATTAAATTTTCTTGTAGAATTTTATCAAAATTTTTGTTTAATAATTGAATTCTTTTGGGAAATTTTATTAAAATAGTAGAATATTGAAAATCATTGAAATAATAAAATTTTTTGAAAATAATTGAGATATATTCATGAATTTTATTAAAAAAATTTTAAATAATTGAATTTTATTACTTTTGAAAATAATTGAATTCTTGTGATGAATATTGTTATTTATAAAAATAATTGAATTTTATACACATTCCTGAATAAAATTGAATTTCAGTGAAGAATTCTGCCATTTATATAAAGATAATTGAAATGTTGACGAGAATATTATTAAAATTGTACTGAAAATACTTAAATTTATTGTTTTGAAGAATTTATTTGAATTTCTTTTAAATTTTTAAAATAATCGTGTTTATTATTAAGTGTAATTAATAATTTTATTATCAAATTTTATTAAGATTATTGATATAAAATTAAATTTTTTTAAACAATTTAAAAAGTTTTAATAAATAATTAAATTTAAAAAAAAAATTTCTTTAAATTTCGTGAAAATAATGTATTATTTTATTTTTACAATTTTAATTGAAAATTTTGAAAATAATTGAAATTTACAAAGATTTTTATTAAATAATTTTGAGAATAATTGAATTTTTTCGAAGAATTTTATCAAAATTTTGGAAAATAATTAAATTTTTTCACAAAATTTTTAAAAGAACTGAGTTTAATTGAATATTTTTATTAAAACGTTTAAAAGTAATTGAATTTAATTAATATTTTTAAAAATAATTCTATTCTTTACAGAAATTTTATTAAAATTGTATTGAAAATAATTGAATTCTTCCAAAGAATGTTATTATTTTTGAGAATAATTGAATTCATGGGAAAAACTTTTTAAAAATTTTTTTGAAAATCGAGAATTTATTGAATTCTTAAAATAGAATGAAGTGGATTTTTAATTTATTTATATGTTTTACAGGAAACGAAAGACCAGAAATTAATATATTCGGGACAACTTTTAAACGATTCGGCATGTTTAAAAGATGTTTTGCGACATTACGAGGACACTGAGGATCAACCATTCACTGTGCATTTAGTTTGTCCAACTGATAAAATGGGCGTAAATGAAAATAAATTGGATAAATCAAATGAAAGTAATAATAATAATAAAAAAAATACATTAAATACTGAACGTAATGCGGAACAAAATCGCTTTGATTCGATTGGCGGTCAGGGAACAGTGAATACACAACCAACTGCTCAAACATTTCCAATACAATCATTTTATGGACAATTAAATAGTCAACAAATTGCCTGGATGCAACAAGCGTACACACATTATTTAACGCAGTACATGCAATTGTGAGTATATTTTGTATTTTTTTTTATTTGGAACTTTTTTGCTTTTGAATATTAAATTTAATTAAATTTTAATTTAATATACTGAAGATTAAAATATAACAAAAAAATTAATTAAATGTAATTGTTTTGAATTAAAAAGCAAGAAAGTGGATGAAGTGAAAAAGAAGATTTGTTTAATTAATTTTTGTTTTCTTTACAGAATGGCTGCTCAAGGTGTTCAAGTGCCAAACAGTATACAATATGTTCAAAGAATGAATCTAAATGCAAATAATTTAGGTAATAATAATAATGCTAATGGAAATAATGTTAATCAAAATGAAGAAGTTGAACAGCCAAGGCAACAGCAACAACAACAACAACAGCAACAAGATGGTGTCGATGCGGCAGGTGGCGATGATGCTGCAGCAGCAGTGAATCGAGATTGGCTCGATTTCTTCTATATGCTCTCGAGGATAGTTGTTTTATTGAGCATCGTCTATTTTTACTCATCGCCAATAAGATTTCTCATTGTTGCCTTTCTTGGACTTGCCATGTATCTGTAAGTTTATTTTTTGTTTCCTCAATTTCTCTTTTCTTCCTTCAATTATAAGATTTCTTACAAAAAATATTTTTTTTATCGAACTTTTAATTTAATTTAATTTTATTTTATTATTGAAATATTCAATAATTAGAAAAACAAAATTAACGTTCGTGAAGTTTTCAATGTTTTTAATCAACGATTAATGGGAAACAACTATTTTCCACACGAAAAAGAATAAATTTTTTCTTTTTAAAAAAAATTGCTAAGGTAAATTTGTAAAAAAATTTACGAGCGAAAAATTATTATAATTATTTTAATTCAATTATTAAAGTATTATTATTATTTGGAGTGATCGATCAAGCCATCAATATTATTATTATTACAATTTTTTGAAATAATTGAATTAAACCAATTAAAGGAATTTCAAGTAAATGTATTAAAAAATTTGAGAATAATTGAATTTTTTAATAATGTTTATAATTGTATTTAAAAAATTCATCTTTTAAAACAATTTATCAAAACTTTGATAATAATATAATTGAATTCTTGCGAAGAATTTTATTAAAACTTTCTAAAATAATTGATTTCCAAAAAGAAATGTTATTAAAATTGAATTGAAATTGCATTCTTGGAAAGAATTTTATTAAAACTTTCCAAAATAATTGAATTCTAAAAAGAATATTTATTGGAAATTGCATTGAAAATAATTGAATTCTTGTGATGTATTTTATTATTTTTAAAAATAGTTAAATTTTTCCGAAGAATTTAATTATTTAAAAAAAAAATTTAATTCTTTCGTAAAAATTTATTAAAATTGTTTTGAAAATAATTAAATTCCTACGAAGACTTTTCCTTTTTACAAAAATTGAATTTTTGCGAAGAATTTTATTATTTTTGAAAATAATTGAATTTCTGAGAAGAATTTTTATTTATAAAAATAATTGAATCGTTTCGTAGAATTTTATTAAAATTATATTGAAAATAATTTATTTCCTCCGAAGAATTCTATAATTTATAAAAATGATTGAATTGTTTCGAGAATTTTTATTATCTTTGAAAATAATTGAATTCTTTCGACAAATTTTATTAATATTTTTTTTAATTAATTGAATTCTTTTATGAAATTTTGTTAAAAATGTTTTTCTAAGTAATTTAATTCCTGCAAAGAATTTTACTATTCATAAAGATAATATTATTACATATTATTTATGAAAACAATTGAATATTTGCGAAGAATTTTATTAAAAAATTTTCAAAATAATTTAATCATTTCGAAGAATTTTATTAAAATTGTATTGAAAATAATTGAATTCTTGTGATGTATCAAAATAGTTGAATTTTTCCGAAGAATTTAATTATTTTTTAAAATAATTGAATTCTTTTGTCAAATTTTATTAAAATTGTTTTGAAAATAATTGATTTTCTTCAAAGACTTTTACTATTTATAAAAATAATTGAAATTTTCCGAAGAATTTTATTATTAATGAAAATAATTGAATTCTTGTGAAGAATTTTATTAAAATTGTTGAAAATAATTAAATTCCTTCAAAGACTTTTACTATTTATAAAAGTAATTGAATCGTTACGAAGAATTTTATTATTTATAAAAATAATTGAATTGTTTTGAGGATTTTTATTATTTTTCAAAATAATTGAATTCTTGCAATGAAGTTTATTAAAATTTTTGTTTTTTGAAAATAATAAACAATAATTAATTACAATTATTTTCAAAAGAATCTAATTTTAGATAGAAATAGAATAAGAATAATTTGTATTTTATTCTAATTAAAAAATTAATTTAATTAAAAAGATACTCGAGCGGATTCTTTCGAGTGCAGCCAGTTCTCCTGCCTGAGAATAATAACGCACGGCCTGAGGAAAATAATCCACGACCGGAAAATAATAATGCACAAAATGATGAGCAAATTGGTGTTCAACAAGAGGGTGGTGGCAATCAAGAGACTAATAGAACCGTACCCGATGAGAGAATAAATCCAAATGAAGAAAATGAAACCGAAAGACCCGGTGCTTTAGCATTTACATGGTCATTTTTCAGTTCATTTTTTGCGTCCCTAATTCCGGATCAACCAAATGTTCTCTAATTTTTCTTCATTAAAAAAGAGAGAATGTGAAATCATCATTATTTCCTATTATTTTTCTTTTTAGAAAAATTTCAGAATTCACTATAGAAAAAAGAAAAAAAAACAATTTCCAAATAGATGCCATTTTTGTAAGACTATCAAGACTCAAATCGAAATGAATGGATGGAAAAAAGAGAAGATATTATTTATGCAGGATAATAATCGAAATTCTTCTTTTTTTTGAGGTGAGTCATTTTCCTATATTGTATATAAGAATATTTAGAAAAAAAGATGTATATTTTTAAACTTAAATACTGTCCAATGTGCGTTGTTATTATGTTTAAATTATAAAATAACTCCTAAATTACAATACTAGATTTTTAAACTGAAAACCTTGTAATGAAAATAGAAATTTGAAAGATTAATTTTCAATTTAAAAATTGATATTTGTAATTTATGGAAATTTGATAATACGAGAGGATATTAAATATGAAAGAAAATAATACAATATAAAATTCATTAGAATTATAAAAAAATACTATATGAAGATTAAGTAATGAAATTAATGTCGATTATTAGTATTGTGAAATTTATTAAATGCAAAGTAATTTTTATAAAAAACATTTTTCCTTATGTTACATTCAAAGAATTGATTAGAGTATTACGAATATAATTCAGTAACTTATGTGTCGTAAATTTGATTCTATTTTTTTAATTTCTAGTTGTAATTTATGCGAAAGATTGTGTATGTGTGTTTCGTTTTTATTTATAGAACAGGAAAAAAAAATTACATGCACATTTTGAATTGTTGATGAATAATTCATCGAAAGACAAAAAAAAAGTTTATTATTTTGTCTATTAAGAAGACACTAAAATAGAAGAGAAAAAAAAACATAAAACAACGACGCGAAATAAAAAGCTGTGCTTGTAAATAAATTTTAACTATTAAGTTTAGTTTTTTGGATCACTTCGTGATTGTCTTTTTTAATAGTGAGGCTAATTACCAAACATTGATACTGACACATATTAATTGTGCTATACCGTGGTGTATTGAACCTTGTGATTTGTATCGTAATGTAATTAATAGCGGGCTTTGTAAAGAAAAAAAAATAATAATAATTGACTTTTATTCGTATTCTTTATCTATACATATATTTACAAAAAAAAAAAAAAAATAAATTAAATACTACTATCGTCATAATAAAAAATGGTATTTGAATTTACAAGAAATTGTGAAATTATCTTTTTTTTTAAATAATTATGTAAAATATTCTTTTTATATTTAAAATATTTTGAAAATAACAAATATAAATACTTAAAATTCAGTAATTTTATATTTCTTTTAGAATTGATTTTTAATTAAAATTTAATTAAAATTCATTAATTATAGATAATCTTTATCTTCTATATTAATAATCGTCGTATTTCGATGTGGTCTGTTCGCAGTTTGAAGTTTAGTTGTTTTAATTTGTTTTTTTATTTCTAATTTTTTTGATAACTTTCCTTTTTATGAATTTGAAATAATTTAATTTTTGCATTGAATTTTATTCCAATTTTTAAAAAAAAATAAATTTTTTCGATGAATTTTATTCACAATGTTTGAAAATAAATAAATTCTTTCAAGAAATTAAATTAAAATTGTGTTGAAATTAATTAAATTTCTCTCTAAAGAAATATATCAAAATTTTTGGAAATAATTTAATTCTTTATAGAAATTTTATTAAAATATTTAAAAATAATTGAATTTCATCAAGAAATTTTTTTTGAAATTGTATTAAAAATAAATAATTCAATTCTCTTGCAACAAAGTTTATTTATAGTTTAAAAAAAAATGAAATTCTTTCGAAGAATTTCATGAAACTTTTTGAAAATAATAAAACAAAAAATGAAAAGAAAAATAAGATTTGTAAAATTTTTAAAAGAAATTGTTTCTAAGAAAATTAAAATTTTTCAGAGAAATTTAGTTAAAATTGCATTAAAAATAATTAAACTCCTGATAAAAATTATATTATTTATGGAAATAATTTAATTCTTGCGTAGATTTTTCTTATTTATGAAAAAAAACTTAAATTCTTGAGAAGAATTTTATTAAAATTTTCGAAATTTTATTGCTTTTTTAAAATAATAGTTCATTATGTTAATAAGTAATTCGAACATTTTGTTTAATAATTTTTTTTATTTGATTTTTTTTTTCGTTTCTTTTCTGTAAGACAATATTTTTATTAATATCCGGTTAAATCGGCGAAAGTTGAATCCAAATCGTCACACATATATTTGAATTTCTCTTTTTCCCTACGAAGTCGATCTGGAAACGTATTCAAAAATTTATTATAAAGAAAGAAATAATAAATTTTGTTTAAAAATATTTTTTAATATTTCTGGATAATTTTTTGTCGAAAAAAACCCTAAAGAATTTTTTTTTATGACTGTGAAAAATACCTTCTCGACTGTCCAATTCTTTCAAATAAAGTTTCATCGATTTCTCAGCAAAAATAGCACGTTTCTCTGCTTCATTTAATTTTGCCGTAAGATTGTCCAACTGATCTTTAAATTCTTCGATCCTTTGATTCGCCTGGTAAAATATAAATTGATAAATCAAAAATTTCTGTAAAATTTTTTCTTTTTAAATGAAAATTATTTTATTTTATTATAAACAGTTATTTGCCTTCTCTTCGGATACTTCCAGAGATTTGAGAATATTACCCACGATGAAAAGTTCGTCTTCACGTTCAGCAATTTTTCTACAAAAATTATTTTTTATATTTATTTTTTTATTCTTGTTTGTTTTATTTATCGAGAAATATTATGGAATTTTAATGAAAGAAAATTGAATAAAAGTTTTATTTTTTTGACTAAAAGTCGCAATTTTGCATCATAATAAATCTCGGTTTATTATTTTACTGAAAAAAATTGTTTCTTCTAAATAAAATATTTCATACGCTTCACTAGATTTTACTCGATCTTCAGCGATTTCCAATTCGTCCTCAACAAATGTTAATTTTCGTGAAATTTCATCAGATTTAGTGTCAGCATCTTCAGCAATTATTCTCGCATCCTTCAATTGTGCCGTTAAATAATCCATTCTTTCCTCGTCCTGTTTGCTTCTTGTTTCCAAAACTTTACAAATTCTGCAAAAGAATGTATTTATTAGGAATAATTATAAAAATTAATTAGTTATTAAATTTTTTTACGAAAAAGTACTTCTTTGCGTAAAATAATTTTTATTCCACAATTTTGTAGAGAAATAAATAAATTTGTAAATTTGTAGAGTAAAATAAATAAATTAAATTATTAGTTTGTATTTATTTATATTATACATAATAAATATAATTGAATAGAAATTTTTATTTGTCAGAAAAAATAGATTTTTCGGAATAAACCTTTTGGCGTCTTCGGCAGTTTCTAAAGCTTGCGCAAGTTTTGTTTGAGCAGCCAATCGACGTTCCTCAGACTTTTCTAGATTCCCCATACATTGTTGCATTTTTCTATTAAGCATTGCCAATTCAGATTGTGCCTTTACAAGAAAATAAAATTATTATTAAATTATTTTATAGAAAAATATAGTCTAAAATTAAAACTACATTTCAGATTTAAAAAATCAAATTTTTTTCACTACTATTACGTAAGTTTAATTTTTGAAAATTGAAAAAATTTCTCGATTAAAATAAAAATTATCTCCCTTGATTCTATTATCAATCAATCAAAAATTAATTAATTGAATAAATATCTACAAAAATGTTTTTCTATAACATAAAAATTTGATTAAAATTAAATTTTTTTGTCATTTTTTTGTTCGAAGGAAAAAATTTTCTTGATTAAAGTTTTTAAAATTTTTTGTAATTTTTTTTTTTTTTTTTTTTTTGGTCAAAAGAAAAAGAACACTTACCATCATAAAAGCTCTCTCCTTCCTCTCTAAATTCAAATTTGATTGAATCAATTGTGATTTATTGATTTTTAAATCCTGTTGCATTTGTGATAATTTTTTCGCCAATGCACACACTTCGTCCAATAATTTTTCTTCTCGTCTATTGGCTTCTTTAGATTGCTGATCGCAAGCATCAGCTCTTTCTAAAGCAAGATCTTTTTCAATTTTTAGCGTTTGCAATCTTTTCTTAATTGCATTCATTGCACCAGATTTTTTTCTTCTTCTTTTTTTCTATTCACAATTTTAATTTCAACTAAAATTCAATAAACTTCATTAAATTTGAATTTTTTGCTTAAATTTAATTTTCACTGTTTGCCACCAATCCATAAAAAGAAATTTACACTCTTAACATATTTTTTATTTAAAAAAAATTAATTTTCTATTTTTATTTATTTAGAGAATTTCTATTTTTTCAAGTTTATTTTCTGCAAAATTTGTAAAATTTTCGAAAGTTTTGAATTTATTATTATTACACAGTTTAAATTGATTATTTGTGTTTAGTTTTTTTTTATTGTATTTGTCTTTGCTTTTTTTTCTTTAGCTCCGAATTATTGTTGCAGAAAAAAAATCCAATTTCGAAATTTTCACTCACTTTCAAATCAAAAGCTTACGGGTTACTGTACTCGATGAACGAAGAGATCGTTGCTTTATAGACTCTCGAAATAATGCAAAAGAACAACGCCGTCGAACTCTTTACTTAGACGCAATTGAATTCCTCAACTTCTTCGCGTGTCACCTGACGACACTATTTGTTCTACTTTTTACAAAATTTACGATAATTTCCCCTTTTTTCTTTTATCCATAAAGTTCAATATTCTAATTTTCATTCAATGACACATTCTTTGCTTTTTCTTCAAAAAAAAAAACGAAGAAAAAAGAAATTATTTACGAAATTGAACAAAATGTAATTTTATAAATTTTAAAAACTTTAAAATAGTTTATTTACTAATTTTAGAATTAATTACGGGCATTAAATATTTTTTTTCTACAACTATGTTCTAATTATTGTACACCGTAGATTTTATTTTTATTTAGAAATAAAGTAATATCACAATAGTAAAAATTTGAACAATAAATTTAATATTTTGTCAAAAAAAGTTGAAAATATATTCGATTCAACATTTTTTTCTGAATCATAATTTTTATTTACATTATTTTTTAATCGTGAAATCGAATTTTGCTTTTTGAATTGACCAAAAAATTATTTTCTTGAAACTAATACAAAAAATACAAATTTTATTTCCAATTTTTTTTCCTTCTTTATATTTTTCATATTTCCAATATTTTGCTTAAAATACTTTTAAGGAAACAATTATTTTTTTCAATTGAGAACTTTGTGATTGTAAAGAAAATAGATTTTGTTTTCGTAATAAAAGAAAATAGACGAGCATTGAGATTCATGAATGGCGTTTATTTGAAAATACAGCTTTACGTACAGCATTTTAGAAACCTAGTGATAAATTTCCTATGAGAAAAAGAAATATTTGTTTGTTTGTATTTTTCTATACCTTAAGCTCGAAAAAATATTGTGACACGTCAAAAAGTTCCCGCTAGTGATTTCCTGAAAAATAAAAAGGAACTCTTGACGCTCATCGATCATATAGTGAAAGTTATTATCATTTTCATGCGAAGCGATAAATTAAAATATGCTAACAACGAAGAAATGAAGCGAAAAAATAAAATCTCGTGCAAAGCAATTTTTTTTTCTTGGTTTTTTGTTTAAACTTATAAGTAAATTTTTTTCGCAACAGAAAAAAATGTAAATCAAAAAATAGCATTTATGGAAGAAAAAGCGAATAGCATTTTCATTTTGTTTTTTTTTTTTTTAATGAAGCGAACGCAAAAAAAAAGAAGCGCAAGAGTAAAAAAAAGAAGTAATCTTAAGTTTCAAGTGGCCTAGAATCCCGTCATTTCGGCGTAGGTCAAATCAAGATCATCGCACATCGCTCTGTATTTTTCCTTCTCTTCTCTCAGTTCATCTGGAAGAAATGAAAAAAAATTGCTGGTTAATTTCATTTCGAAAAAGGTAATCAGTAAATATTAATAATTATAAATATTATAAGTGTTATAAATTAAAATTATTATAAATATTAATGAATTTAAATATTATAATTCACTTTTCGCTGAATAACATTTATTTGCTAATAATTAGAATAGAATTTTATTTGAAAATATTAATAATACTAATAAAAAGAGGAACAGAAAAATAATCAAGAAAATAATTTAAGAAGTTATAAAGAATTATTAATCTTTTAAAATAAGAAACCTTTTTTTGTTTATTTCTTGAGTAAATAAATAAATAAATAAATAATACAAAAATTCGAAGGAAGAACAGGCAAAAGTTTGCAATCAATGGAAAAAGAGATTTAAATTAATTTTTTTTACCTTCTTTTCTGTCCACGTCTTTCATCAATTGCTTCACTGTCCTTTCAGCGTGAACGGCTCGTTTCTCTGCCATTTTCAAACTCATTTTCAAATTTTTCAATTCCAATTTGAATTCCTCCACTCGACGATTGGCCTGAAAAAAACATGAATTAAAATTTATTTCAAGAAAAAATTTTTCATAGACAATTTTTTTTCTTGTGTTAAATAAATAAACTTCATGTTTATTCGATTTATTAATTATTCATGAATATATTTATGAATAATATTAAAATAGGAGAATTTTCACTAAAATGTAAAAAAAAATGGAAAATTACAAGAAAAATGACAAGATTGTAAGATTTTTATAATAAATCGAGAAGAAATTTTTTTCATCTGGATAAATCTAGATAAATAATAATTAAAGAATAATATTAATACATAAATAATAATTTATCTCTAGATGATAATTTTATAATAATTTGCCAATAAAATTATAATTTTACAAAAATCGCCAGTAAAATTAATAATTTACAAAAACTGTTCAACAAAATTATAATAATTTTCTAAAAATTGACACTAAAATTATAATTTTACGAAAATCGACAATAAAATTAATAATTTAGTAAAAATGTTCAACAAAATTATAATAATTTTGTAAAAATTGACACTAAAATTATAATTTTACAAAAATCGACAATAAAATTAATAATTTAGTAAAAATGTTCAACAGAATTATAATAATTTTATAAAAATTGCCAGTAAAATTAACAGTAATTTCATAAAAATTGGCGCAATAAAATTACAATAATATTATAAAAATTGTCATCTACGGATAAAAAAAAATTCTTTTCGATATTTTCTTTAAATAAAAAAAGAAATTATTGTTGAAAAATAATAAAATAATAATAATCACCTTTTGTTCGGAAACTTCAAGTGACTTGACGATATTTTTAACGATAAAAAGTTCATCTTCACGTTCAATAATTTTCCTGTAAGCATATAAAGCAAAAAAAAAACGCTAATAATAACGATGTTTAAAAATGATGAAAAAATAATGGAAACGCACTTATGCAGAGGGACTGCTGCGTCAAAAAAACGGAATCGTTCCATTTTTTCATCACGGTAAAACAAATACTGACGCTTCGCTAGTCTTGACTCTCTCCTCCGCTGATTCCAGTTCTTCCTCAACCAATTGGAGTTTCGTCTGAGCTTCCTCAGATTTTGTATCGGCGTCCTCAGCAATTAGTCTCGCGTCTTTTAAATCACTCGTCAATTTTTCAGTTCTCTCCTCGTCCGCCTTACTTCTCTCCTCCAATACTTTACACATTCTGAAATTTTGTTTTTAAATGTTATTTCATTTTTTTCAATTTTTTTTTACATTTTTTTTGTATTATTATTTTTATTGTTATTAATTATTATTATTCTTATTTTTGTTAGTAATTTCTATTCTTATTTTTAATATTATTAATTATTGTTATTCTTTATTTTTATTATTATAGTATAATTTATATTTTTTACGATTCTTCGCATTTTATTTTTATTTTAAAGCAAAAAAAGTGCGTAAATTAAACAAACCTTTTAATGATTAATTTAAATACTAAAAAAGTAATTACTAATTATTTTTAATTTTTTTTACCTTTTAGCATCGTCAGCAAGTTCTGATGCTCGTACTAATTTGATTGTTGCAGAGTCACGATATTCTTCCTTTTTTTGAAGTTGTTCCTCTATATCCTGGACTCTTTTTGTCAGCATTGTTCGATCTTGTTCTGCCTACACAAGAAAAAACTATTATTATATGAAATTAAATATAAATTAATATAATTTATTTATTATTATTTTAATATTTTTTCTGTTTTTATTACTACTTGTATTTGTTAATAATTATACAAAAATTGTAGGTAATAATAATAATAAATAAAAATGTATTTATATTTTTGGAAATATTTATCGAATGTTTTGTGAAATTAAAAAATTTCGGTACTCACTTTAGTGAATTGTTTTTCACATTGTTCTAATTCCGCGGAAGATGTATCGAAAGTCGTTTTAATCGTTTCAAAATCATGTTCCATTTGAATGAGTTTCTTTTCTAAATCACGCACTTCATCGAATAATGTATCGGCTCGTAAATTTTCTTGTTTTGCTTTTACTTCATTTGTATCCACTGTTTCATTAGCACCGTCCAATTCCTTTTTCAACGCTGCAATATTTTTCTTAATCGCCTCCATAGTTTTTTCTCTTTATGTTGTTTCCCACAGGCAGAAGCTTCAGAACGACGCCCCTTCAACCTGTCTCGAAAAAAAAACAATTGTCTGTTAAAAAAAATTAATTCTCTACAATTTCCTTTGAAATGAAACGTTAAAAGAATTTTTTTAAATAAATTTTTAAAATTATTTCTCCCAGAAAGAAAGATTTAAAAGAAAAGAAAATATAAATTACGTCAAAGTTAACACAATTTTTCTCTTTTACAAAAAAAATTAAAATAATAAAAATAAAAATTACAAAATCACTCGAGATTCACAAACACAAAAAGCACTTGTAATTACAATGTGTTTTCAAAAGGGAAATTTTTTACAAAAAAAAAGGAACATTTTTTTTCTAAATCTCTCGTTGGGGATGGAAATTTTGTGCAAAAGAGGCCAACACTCACTTTCGTTGAAGCGATGATCCGCGAGGAGAATGTACAACCGGATGCCTTCGAAAGCTAAGCTAAAATAAAACGAATCTTCGTGAGCTGAGCTCTCTTCTCTTCTCGTCGAACGCTACGATCGAATCCAATTCTATAATTGCTTGACGAACTTTGGCTATCGTCCCGATTTTCGCTTGGCTCTCTTTCTCTTTTGCTGATCAAAAAACCCCCTTCAAGTTGCATTTGACTCGCCGAAATGCGATCTCCACCCTTCCATTCTATTTTCAGCTAAATTCGTCCGAAAAAAATAAATAAATAAGAAAAAAAATGCAATGCCTTGTGTTGTAAACTGTTTATTGTTGCGATAATGAAATAGAATTTTTTTTTGAAGTACACAGAAAAACAAAACACAAAAAATACGGCGAGAAAAGAACAGTATTATAATTCAAATAGCGTTCCATTTTTGAAATTTAAATGAATTTTCAATTTTTTCTGTGGCTCCTCAATTGAATATATTTTGAATTATTCAAAATACAAAAAATTTTATTTTCTACATTTTTAATTTATTTTCAAATAAAAAATATTTTTTGTCAGATTTATTTTTTCATAATTTTTCGTTATAATGTGAATTTTACTCTATTGTAAAAGATAATATTTTTGATAAATTTTTATGCACTAATTTTAATTATTTTAATTAATTACTTTTTGTAATTTTTGTAACTTTTAATAATTTTCAAACTGAAATAATTTAATAAATCTACAGAATATTTTAAAAATTTTCGAAAGTAATTAAATTCTTACGAGGAACTAAATTAAAATTGTATTGCAAATAAATGAACTCTTGTGAGGAATTTTATCAAAATTATAACCAAAAGAACCAAATTTCTCTAAAGACTTTTATTATTTTTATGAAAACTAATAAATTCTTGCAAATTTTTTCGACGAATTTAATTAAAATTGTATTAAAAACAATTCAGTTCTTATATATAGAATTTTATTAAAATTTATGAAAAATAATTGAATTTCAGAGAATAATTTTATTATTTATAAAAAATAATGAAATTCTTGCGAAGGAGTTTACAATTTATAAAAATAAATGAATTGTTTCGAGGAATTTTATCAGAATTTTAGAAAATAATTAAATTTTCTAGAAGAATTTTATATTAAACATTTTAAAAATAATTTAATTTATAATTGAAATATTTAAATGAAACATTTAAATATAATTTATTTTTTTAAAGAATTTTATCAAAATTGTTGAAAATAATAAAATTTGTATTAAAATAATTGTATTCTCTTGAGAAATTTTATTAAAATTGTTTTGAAAATAATTGAATTCTTTCAAGAAATTTAATTAAATTGTTTTGAAAATGATTAAATTCTTTAGGGAAATTTTAATAAAATTCAAGTGATAATAATTGATTTCTTTCGAGAAATGTTATTAAAATGTAGATATAATTAAAGTTTTAGTAAATAATATAGAATAATAATAATTAATTAGTTAACAAATCAGTTTCTTTTTAATTTTGTTTGAGAAATTCTTCAAAAATTAAAGTTGATATTTGGAAATAAAAATTTTTGTAACATTTGCTGCTTTGAAAATAATATTTGATCAACGAAAATCAAATTCAAATTCAAAAATGGAGCGACTTTTTAGCGAAATCAAAATTTTGCGCAATTTCGTTACAATTGTTACTATTATGACGTATACAAATTCTCTTCGTAGCAAAAGTGCGATTACATGAATGATTTTTTTTGGTAATAAAAATTTGATGAATATTTTGTTATTTGTTTTTTTTTGCGCAATAGTAATACTTTCGGTGCAAATATTATACAATATTATGTTGAAAGAACAGAAAAAATATGAAAAGATTTTTTTCAATTTTTTTTCCTCAGCCTTTTTTTACAATTTTGTCATTTTTTTTTCTAAGATTTTTATCAGACAATTTTGTTCTAATTTTGCTCTCATTCAGTTTATACAATTCGTTTCTTACATTTAATCTTCCTCTTAATTTTTTCAAATTTGTTTTCCAAATTTTCACATTTTTATAAAGTTTTCTAATTTTCTTCTTTATTGATTTTGCAATTGAAAAATTGATGGAATTTTTAGAATTTGCAAATTCGGTTTTCTTAGCACACAACTTGTCGATAATTATATCTATATATCCAAATTGTTCTAACTACGATTTTTTTAGCAAAATAATAAATTTGTTTTTCGTAAATAGAAATAGGTGACAACGATGCACTTATTTTATAAGTGGAAATATAGAAAACTGGACAGACTAGCGATCACCAGAAATTATCCAAGCGAGATTCACTTTTTTTGTTTCCGCAAAAAAAAATAATAATTGAAACGAAAAATAATTAAACTTGCGAAATGTCTCTTTGTTCCCTTTTTTTAGAAAGTAAATTTCACCAGGACAATTGGAGATTTTTTTTTGTAACAACGGTTATATTTAAATTTTCGTTATATAAAACGAGCCTACTTATTATATTTTTATTTTTACAATAGGGCAACATCGACTCGATTTGTAAAGGTTTCTAAATTTTTTTTTTCATTCATTTTTACGCATCCATACGATAAATTAAAAAAAAATTCTTTTTTTTACAAAGAAAAAAAGCCACAGACTTATTATTGAGAAAAAAGCGTGAGATTCTATTAATAATTAACATTATTATTTATTATAAATATTATAATAAAAATTATATTATTATTATTTTTGGAAAAATTTCTATGGCACATTAGAAAAATTTTTCTTTTTCTTTTCTAAATTAATTTCAAAGTTTATAAGAAGCCATTTTCGATTACACGGTATCACAATTGGTGTCGAATGTTGCTCAAGTCTTTGCATAATAGAAAATGCGTACGCAACGATGCAAAAAAAAATTGTTCAATTTGCATTGACAATTTATTCTTTATCTTAAATATTTAATGATTGTGATGTAATGAATGAACCATCGTAAATTAATGGTCAACGATTTATAACGATTTGCAATTATTTTATATATAGATTATTTTCTTTTTGTTTACTTTAAATATTATTTAAAGAAGGTGCAGTTTCATTTTAAATGTGATTATCATAGAAATTTTAACAGTGAAATATCGACAAATAGAATGATATTGAGAAAACTTAACTGGGGAATTATATTGTATTTTAAATATATGTAATAATTGTATAATTACAATAAATTGTAATTAATTGGTAATAATTATGTTACTATAATTTGTTACTTTGATTAATAATAATGACAACAATAAATTTTTCAATAATTTTTCAATTACGTGTCAAAATTCTTGTCATTATTATTAAAATTTCTAATTAATTTATTGTAGTCAAGAATATCATGAAAAAGCGAGTTGATTTCAAAAACTACAGCACCTTTTTAATTCTCAATTGCTTTTTTTAATATTTTTATTAATAAAAAAATTGGCAATCTCGATATTGACGATTAAAATATCGTCGAGCAAATAGATTTTTTTTTAATGATTTTAAAAAGTATGAAAACATGTAAAAAAAATGCTCGATTATATTATACTATTGATGAAGATTTTTTGTTTCGAAATATTAATTTTTATGCACGAAAAATTTAGAGAATTTCGAGTACTATTATTATTTAATGTGAGAATAGAAATTGTTTTTTGTTATCGACGTGGGCAAGATGGTCATCTCGAAAGATCGGAACCAGTCTCTGAGCCTTGCGAAGTTAATTGGACGTATGTTGGTGTATATGATAATAAAAGATGAGCCGCGTCTTCTCTGCCGAGAGCGCGAAGCTCACGAACTAGAGTTCCCACTGTACAATCCGCTCCCGCCGAGCCAAGAAGTCTGCAATTTTTTTTTTATTCAGAAAACATGAAAAAGATTCTCTTTTCATAAAATTTTTCTTTAAATCAATTAGTTTCAATAATTTTTGATAAAGTTCTTTTGAGAATTTTCAAATTCAATTTGATTACAATTCAATTTTACGAAATTTCAATTATTCGAAAATTCTTCAATTAAATGTACATTGGAAAATAAAAACCTGAAATTTTAAAAAATTTCGATTTAGCTTTTTGAAAAAAATTGGTTCCACAAAACTTTTAATTAAAAATATGAAAAATTTCGATTTTCAAAGATTTTAATTTGAAACCTTGACAAAATTCAATTATTTCTATTATATTATTTCTAAAAATTGCAATTAGTAACTTCTCCAAAATTCAATTATTTTCTAAAACTTTAACTGAAATTAATTTTTAAATCAATTTTTATTAGACGATTCTATGAGAATTCAATTATTTAAAAACAAATATTATAAATAATTAATTGAATAATTGTTAAAATTGAAATCTTATATATAATTTTATCAACAAATTTTTAAATAATTGAATTCATTCGGCGAATTTTAAAAAATTTTTTAAGAATTATTACATTTTTCGAGAAATTTGATTAAAATTGTATTAAAAATAATTGAATTTTTGCAATGAGTTAATTTATTATTTATGAAAATTATTAAATTATTGCGAAGAATTTTATAAAAAAAGTTTCAAACCATTGATTTTTTTCAAAAAAAATTATGCAAATTCTATTTTTAATAATTGAATACCTGTGAAGTTTTCATTATAAAACTGAATTTTTTCGAGGAATTTTTGAAAATACATAATTGGAATTTTGCCATGAATTTTATTAAACTTTTTGAAAACAATTGAGTTTTATTACTTTTGATATAATAATTAAATACTTGTGATAAATATTGTTATTTATGAAAATAATTGACTTCCTCCGAAAGATTTGATTATTTATGAAATTAATTAATCCCTGAAAGGAATTTTAAAATTTATGCAAATTTTATTTTAAATAATTGAATTCATGGTGGAATTTTTATTTTTTTGGAAAATAATTTTATGTTCGTGTAGAATTTTATCAAAAATTTTGTTAAATAATAATTGAATTCTTTTGGAAAATTTTATTATAATAGAATATTGAAAATCATTGAATTAAGAAAAATTTTTGAAAATAATAAATAATTGAAATTTTGACTTGAATTTTATTACTTTAGAAAATAATTGAATTCTTGTAATGAATACTATTATTGATGAAAATAATTGAATTTTGGAATGAATTTTATTAAAATTGCTAAATATAAATGACTTTTGTCGAAGAATTTTGCTATTCATTTATAAAAATAATTGAAATGTTGACGACAATTTTTTTTAGATTTTTTGAAAATAATTGAATTTCTGCAAAGAATTTTATTAAATTTGAAAATAATTGAATTCTTCTGATGAATATTGTTATTTATTAAAATAATTGAATTTTATTAAAATTCCAGAATATAATTGAATTTCGATGAAGAATTTTGCTTGTATTTATAAGGATAATTGAAATGTTGACGAGAATTTTTTTAAAAAATTTTTTTAAATAATTGATTTTCTAGAAAGAATTTTTATAAATTGTAAAAATTTAATATTTTTCCAGTACTTTTGATAAAATTCCCTGATTTTTCTCTGATTTCGCTAACAACCTGTGGCAACCCTGATTAATAAACTAAAAGATATTTATAAAAGGCGAAAATTGAATTATTATCGCAAAGGATCGAAAAATAAATTTGGAATTAAATAGTAATAGAAAATACCTGAGAGTTGGACTATTGATTGTACTGTCAAATTGTGCAACACGATCTCCTAATCCAAGTCTAACGGCTAGTAGACACCAGTCTCGCCCCTGCGGATCCGGCGGATCAAGTAATTGAGCCAAACGTCTTTGAACTCCTGGTTTAATACTCTTCACTATTTGTTTCGGTCCCGGAATGCAATTGTCCGATAAAACTAATCCACAGCCAATAATATCCCAGATATTCTCCTTTTTTCCATTAAATGGATTTTTCAAGCAAACCTCCTCGAAACTTCGCTCCATTAATGACGATAAAATTAAAGCCGGTTCCCAAGAATGTATAACCTTTTTAAAAAATATTTAAAAAATGTATTCTCTGTAAATTAATTTTTCTTTTTAATTAAAAATTAGTTAATTATGAAAAAATGAAATTACCTCATCGTAATCTCGTAATTGACTAGGACTTAGCCAGTGCCTCTCAAGAATCATTCCGGATGCAACTGTTTCGAGTGACAATTCAATGGCATCAATTATTATATTAATAAGAGAGAAACATTGAGCTCCTGAACCTCTTGGTCCTCTCACTCGAACCTCGATATATCCCTGATCCTCTTCCTCCAAAGTAATCATACTCTCGCACGGTCCAATGCAAAATTTCGAACCACGCCACCATTGATATAAATCCGATTCATTTTGATCCAATGACTGCGCTATTTTTCTCAATTGAACCTAAAATCAAATTTTGTATTGAATAATTTTTTATTATCTTTTCGAAAATTAAGAAAATTGTATGAATTTTAATTTTCGATTTACTTGTAAATGGGGAAAAATTGGTGAGAGATGATAGAGTCGAGCTTCGCCTGGGCAAAGACGAAGTCCAGCGTGTGGAAGTAGTGATGAACCAGTTTTCCAAGGTTCCCATAAACCCGGCAATCTCTCAATTAGATTCAAGCATGGAAGTTCGTATTCCAGTTCATCATCCTCTACTTCACACTGTGATGAATAAAAATTTAATTTTTAGTTCTTAGAAAAGACATTTGTTTTTAGTGTCTTCAAAATGATTGTTTAATATAAAATCAAAATATTTATGAAAGAAAATATATTAATAGTAAGATATTAAAATTAAACGAAAAATAATAATTTTTGTCAAAATTTTTCAAAATAATTGAATTTCTACGTACAATGTTATAATTAACAATTTTTTAAAAATAATTTCGATTATTTTTGTAAATAATAAAATTCGTTGCAATAATTAAATTATTTTAATACAATTTTAATAAAATTTCTCGAGAGAATACCATTTTTTTAAGAATACAGATTAAATTCAATTATTTTCGAGAATTTTAATATAAATTCCATTATTTTCAACAATTTTGATACAATTCTTTGAAAAAACTAATTATTTTTAAACGTCTCAATCAAATTTTTCTAATAAATTAAATTATTTTCAAAATTTTTAATGTCAAATTCTTTTAGAAAATTTAATTATTTTCAAAAACTCTGGTAAAAATCTTTAAAGGAATTTTCAAAAATAATAAAATTCTTCAAAGGAATTAATTATTTCTATAAATTTTAGAAATCTTTGGAGGAATTCAATTATTTTGTAATGAAATGAATACAATTATTTTTAAAAATATTAATTCGATTATTTTGAAGAATTTAAATAAATATTCAATTATTTTCAACAATTTTGATAAAATTCTTTTCAAAAAATAAATATTTTTAAAGGTTTGAATAGAATTTTTCCATGTATTCAATTATTTTCAAGATTTTTAATAAAATTCAATCAAAAAAATTAAATTATTTTCAAAAATTCCTCGAAATAATTTAATTATTTTTATAAATTGTAAACTTCTTCGCAAGAATTCAATTATTTTTATTGTAATACAATTATTCTTCTCAGGAATTCAATTATTTTCAATATAATATTAATAAAATTGCTGGGAAAAAATTCAATTATATTCAAGTTAATTTTAATTAAATTTCTCCAACGGATTTCATTATTTTTAAAAATTGTAATGAAATTTTTCTAAAAAATTTAATTATTCTCAAATTTTTTTGATAAATACTTTGCAAGAATTCCATGATTTTAAGAGTACATTAATTTTAAAATTGAGTACATTTAAAAAGAAAAATTATTAAAAAACTGAAGAAACAAAGAAGTAAACAAAAACTACTATCAAATTGCGAACAAATTACAAGAATACAATTTTTATTAATATAAAAGAAGATATAAAATAGAAGTTTAATAAACTAGTGAATAATTGCATTTTTTAAATGTTGAATCTAAAATTATTCCAAAATTGAAATTAATATTTAAAAATAAACAAATTTTTAATTTTCATAATAATAATAATAAATTAAATACCGCATTTCGCGCGTGACATTTGATAGTAATAATAATAAAAAGTAATAAAATAAAAAATTTAAATGTTCAAGACTATAATAATAAAAATAGAAAATGTACTCACGGAAATGCAAAGATTAATGGCCTGCAATATGCTGAGAGCTTGATTAGCGGGACAAGGACATCTGGCCTGGAAATCTTCAATCGCATAAACTCCCGTCGTTCGTCCACCGAGTCGACCACGTTGATCCGGATTCAATTGCCATCCAATTACATCGCGCCAAAGCCACTCGGGATTAAGAATAAGTAAATCGTCAGGAAGTAGAGAACATTCACCTAAAGCCTGAAAAATAAAAAAATCATTTTATTTAATTCACATATTTTATATTTAATTGAAATTAATTTAATTATACTTTTACCTATAATCACAAAAAATTAATGCAAATAGATTTTAAGAAACATTTTCTTTTCCTTCACGTAACATTATTCAAATATTTAATATTTTTGTAATTTAATTTAGTATTTAATTAAGTTATTATTTTTAATTTCATTTCAAACTAAAAATAATAATTTATTATTATTTTTAGTTTCATTTCGATTTAATGTAATTTAAATTAAGTATTTTAATTGATTTAATTTAATTTTAATATTTTTTTCCCCTGTTATTTTTGTTTTTAGTTACTAATTTTGGCAAGAGATGTTAGCAAAATAATTACTTGTAATTGTTGCGCCAAATGTTTGCAATGTTCCAATGAAACGAGAGGATTAACTTTACGAACTTCATTTAAAAATTCAATTAAATTAAGCATTATCGGCGGTTCCTCGAGAGATTGTAAATGTGTTCTCCACGCCTCGGCAAGACCTGTCCACACCATTGCACCCTAAAATCGCAAAAAAAGAAAAATTATCAAAAACACAAGAAATTTGTAACAATTTTATCAAAAATGAACGCATTATTATTATTCTCTTTTTTTAATTATTAAATTTTTCAAGATCCACTTCGTCTCCGCATTTGAATTATTTTATTTTAATTTTTATTTATTTTAATTTTATTTTAATATTTTTTTCTATTTTTAATATCAATTTTTTTTTCTTGTAAATATTCATCAACGTGGACGAAGTAAGGAAAAATTAATTTTTTTTTTCATTTAAGTGCAATTAAAAAAGTGTATTGGGAAAATATGTTAGAATAGAAAAAAACATCTACTATATTATTATAATATATATAGAGAAATATTCACAACACCGATATTACACTTTTTAAAAACGAAAGAAATGATAAATGGATCGACCTGTTTGTCAAGATTCGTCAGAGGCACGTACTTGGCCGCTGCGCGCAGTGTGTCATGATGAAGAAAACTTTCTGCAACGTCCGGTCCATCCTATATCATGCGTTGCATGCATTAAAGCTGTTGTCAGTAAACAAGTAAAGTTCTTTTTTTTGCGACCAACCAATTAAGAACCAAAAAATTTTATTAAAAAGTAAAGAAATTTTTTTTTCTTTTATTAAAAAGGTGCTCTCCACCAAGTGTTGGCTGACGAGTTTAATAAAATTCCATTAATTCCAATTATCTTTTTTAATATATTACATTAGAAGATAATAATTAAATAATTTATTATTCAAAAATTGTATTAAATTAAATTTAGATTTTCCAAAAAATTGATCTTTAAAGCCCACAAAAAATAACCATGCGTCGGGATAAACGACACAGGATATATACTTAGTTTTGAAGAAAACATGCCATTTTTTTTATTTGCTTATAGAGAAAAGGCATTGACAATAAATCAGGGTTGCCATTAAAATTTGATTTTGTTTTTCCTTGAATTTTCCCTTATTAATAGACAGAATTCTGATTTTTTTCCCTGACCCCAAAGAATATTCTGATTTACTCTACAAATGATTTGATACACAAAAAAAATATTTGTAATACTTTTATTTAATATCTTTAATTATAGTAAAATTAATTAAATCATTATTAATATTTTGATAGATTAAAATAATTTTTAAATATATTAATTCAACAGATTAATATAATTATATAATATTTAGATAGAATTATTATTATTTTCTTGTAAAAATTAAAATTTTCAAACCCTTTGAAATTTGATAATTTATAAAAATTGCTACTTTTTAAAAATTATTTTCAAGTTTTCAATTCAATTATTTTCTAGAATGTTTAACTAAAATTCTTCGTATGAATTTTTTATTTTCAATACAATTTTGATAAAAAAATTCACAAAAGGATTCAATTGTTTTTAAAATTTTTATAAATATAAATAGTAAAATTCGTCTCAGGAATTCAATTATTTTCAATACAATTCTAATAAAATTTCTCGAAATTATTCAATTATTTTTAAACATCCTAATAAAATTTTTGAAAAAATTGAATTATTTACATAAATAATAAATTTCTTTGCATAAATTATTATCCTTCATTATTTTCATTACACTTACTATAAAATTTCTCGAAAGAATTCAGTTATTTTCAAAAATTGTAATCAAATTCTCTGAAGAATTGAATTTTTACAAAAAAATTTAATAAAATTCAAATTTTTTAATTTCAATTATTATCAAAATTAATTATTTAAAAACCTTTAAAGAATTTCTTCATAAAATTTAATTACATACTTTCAAAATTTTCAATAAAAATCATTTAAGAATAATCCATTAGTTTCAAAATATTCAAATAACAAATTAATTATTTTCAAACATTTGAATAAAATTCTAAAAAATTCAATTAATTTAAAAAAAAATTTATAAAATTCTTCACAGGAATTCAATTGAATTCTATAAAAAAATTTGATTTAAATTTCATTGAAAATAATTGAATTTCTCTGAAGAATTTTATTATTTAGGAAAGCTAATGAATTCTTGCAAAAAATTTTCGACGAACTTAATTAAAATTATATTGAGAATAATAAATTAAATTCTTATATTTAAATAATTTTATTAAAATGTTTAAAAATAATTGTATTTCAAAAAAGAATTTTATTACTTGTAAAAATAATCAAATTTGTACTCAGAATTTTACTAAAATGTTTGAAAATAATGGAATTCTTGCGAAGAATTTTATTAAAATTGTTGAAAATAATTGAATAGTTTCGAAGAATGTCAATTAAATTTTCGAAAAGAATTAAATTCTTTCAAGAAATATAATTAAAAATTTTCTGTAAAATTAAATTATTGTCAGGAAAAGAGAAAAACTTTAGATTTTTCTATTTCAAGTCGTAGTACTTTCGAAGATTATAAAACAAACAAACAAAGAATTCAAGAAGAATTAAATCTTTTTAATATTTTCAAAGGCAGCAAAATCCAGAATTTTCTTATCGATTCTAGAAATTTAATATTTTTCCAGTACTTCTTATTAGAATCTTTGACTTTTCCCTGATTTGCCTGACCAATTTTACTCTCCCTAACTTTCCCCTAAATTCCTTGATTTTCCTGAACTTTGACAACCCTGTAAATTTTAGATTTGTACAGAGAAATTTTTTCAAAATGGAAATTCACTATTTTTTATTTGAAAATTACGCAAAATCGTTCTAATTTTTACAATAATAAATGATTAGCGTATTCTCATCCAAAAATTAGTGAATCATCCAAAATAGAAATCAAAAAGAAAAATACAATAATTTATATCCCAAATATTGTCAAAAATTAAAAGAAAACATTGTGCTGATTTAAAAATACTGCGTGATTTGATTTACTTGAAAATTTTTTAAATCTTGAATATAGAACGGAAATCAAAGCATGCTATGATACCGTGCATCTGCCAACATACCTTTGGGTGGATTCACAATAGGTCAAAAAGAAAAAAAAAGAAAAAAAAAAGATGTGGAAAATAGAGAATATACAAAAATATAATGGCACAAAAGGGTTACAGCAAAAAATAAAAATATTCGATACCAAAATTAAGGATTAAAGTGCTGTAATTAATTTTTGTTTTATCATTTTTGAGATTAAAAAAATTCTTTTAATTTTTCATTATTCTTTTTTTTTTTAATTTATAGTATATATGTGACTATATTTACCAAAAAGAATGTCAGCTCGTTTCGTAATGATCTCACCTCAAAAAATTCCGTTCTCGCATTATTTAAATAAGTGCGAAGAATTTTTAAGCCAGGACTCGATGGATTTGTTGCGTCTAAGGCAACCATTAATGGTTCATCACCTAAAATTGGCGTGAATTCTTTTAAGCAAGGCAACAATGGTCCTAGTAGATTGACACCATTTGAATTTGATGTTAATGCCTCCGGCGCATAAGTTCCCACTAAAATAACTTTCACTTCGCCGCATTTTCCTGCAAAACCTTTATAAAAAACAAAAATAGTTTGTAATTTTATTTCTCGCTGAAAAGAATTAGATCAGAAGAAAATAATTTAATATAAATATAATTTTAATTTATTTTACCGATATTTTTCGGTGGTATACGATCCATGATGAAACGAAGCCAAAATCTTGCTTGTTGTACTTGAACGGTCAATGGCTCACGGAGACTTATTGTTATGAGATGCAACGCTGGCTGATTAAATGTCAAAACTTGATGATAAGACACGAGAAATTCTTCACGTCCACAAAGTTCCCAGAAAATGCAATCGCCACCTAAAATTCAATTTTTCGTTCACATCAATTCGTTGGAAAATTAAATTAATTAATTTTATTGTATTCATTTAGTAAAATAAAAGAATGCAAATTAAAATTATACTATTTTTCTCACCGATATTTCCCTTGCTACATTCGACACCTAAAGTGCTTTCGTACTCATTGTCGCTATGCTCGAAACTCAAGGAACCATGTTTACTCGTCACATCCAATTCAATACTTGGATCTCTCTAATTTACGAAAATTAATCATTTTAATATTTTCACAAAAAAATATTTTCAAATATCAACTTTAGTTTTTGAATAATTTCAGATTTACAAATTTTAAAAATTCACTTTTTAACTAATTAACATTATTTATTATTTTTCTAAAAGTTTAATAAAATTCGAAACAATTTAATTATATTCTAATTCCTTACAGGAATTCAATTATTTTCAAAAATTTTATTTGAAAACTTCTGAATAAGAATTTGATTATTTTTTATAAATTTAGTCATTTTCAAACCAGTTTTAAGAAAATTTCTCGAAATTATTCCACTGTTTTTATAAATAATAAAATTCTTCACGAAAATTAAATTATTTTGAAAATTATTGATTAAATTCTTCATAAGAATTAAAATATTTTCAATACAATTTTTAAATAAATTCCTTAAAAAAATCAATTATTTTTGAAAATTTTGATGAAATTCTTCATAAGAATTCAGTTAGTTTCATAATATTCATAAAATTCTTCGCAGGAATTTAATTATTTTCAATACAATTAAAAATCTTGGCAGAAATTCAATTATTATGAACAATTAAGATAAAATTTTTTATGAGAATTGAAATATTTTAAATTTTAATTAAATACCTAGAAAAATTTCAATTATTTTCGAAAATTTTAATAAAATTCTTCGCAGAAATTCAATTATTTTCAACAATTTTGATAAAACTCTTCATCAAAATTGATATATATTTTTAATTTTAATTGTATTTCTCAAAAAATTCAATTATTTTCGAAAATTTTAATAAAAATCTTTGCCAGGAATTTAATTATTTTAAAGAATTTTAATAAAACTCATCGCAAATTTTTTATTATTTTGGATAATTTCAATTAAATTTTTTACAAGAAAAAAACTATTTAAATACTTTGTAAAAATTTTTAGTCTTTTCCTAAATAATAAAATTCTTGAATTTCTTTACAAAAGACTTTTTATTAAATTCTTTGCAAGAATTAAATGAAAATTTTTGAACTTTTTCAAAGAATTTTAAAAAATTGAATTATTTCAATTTTTCTGCAGAACATTTTTATTACTTATGAAAATAATTGAAAATTTAATAAAAAATGTATTGAAAATAATTGACTTCTTTCGACAAATTTTATTAATATTGTACTAAAAATAATTGCATTGTTTCATGAAATTTAATTGTAATTTTTGAGAAGAATTTCATTATTCAAGAAAATAATTAAATTCTTGTGAAGAATTTTATTATTTAAAAAAAATAATTTAATTCTTGTGAAGAATTGTATGAAAATTTTTGAAATTAATTAGATTGTTTCGATGAATTTTATTTTAGATTTTTGTGAATAATTAATCTTAAATTTTGAGTCTAAAATTATTATTGAAAAATTAAAGTCGATTACTGAAAATAAGAAATTTTAAAATAGGAATAATTTAGATAAAAAAATATATCTTACTTTACAATTATAATTTTGACTCTTCGATCTGCGGAAAAATCCAAAACTAAAGATTCCCGATCTCAAAGAATTGATTAACGATGTTTTGCCGGATGCGCAATGACCTAAAAGCCTAATGTGAAGACGATCTATTGGCCTATGTGTGGGTTTCAATTGCTTTATGTACATCTCGCGTTGAGCTAGCTGAAAATTGAGGGAAACTTTTTATTTTTTTCTTATTTTCAAAATATTGGTTTTCTTAATTTATACGATTTTAAATTGGATATAATTTTATCTCGGAAAAAATTCATCTTAATTGTGTAAAAATATGCGCATTTTAATTAATTTAAAATAAAGAAATTTAAAAAAATGGAGTTCTTTATTAGATTCTTTATTTTTGTAAAATTAAAAATTTTTATTTTTGTAATTTAAATTAATTAATTTTAATCAATAGACAAGTATTTAGAAACATTTATAAACAATTTTATACTAGTTTATATTTAGTTGTCTTTTAAGGGATAAATTAATAAAATTAAGAGATAATAGACGAAAGTTTCGACAATAGAAAAAAATCGTTAATTTGAAAAAAATACTCACGTTTCTTAATTTATCTAATAAATTCGCAATCTCTGTGTGGCCATGTTTAATAGCAGTTATGTCCGCTCGAATACCGTGATTTGTTTTATTAACATCGCAACCAGCAATGCAGAGCAGTCTTACAAGGTCGATGTAACCATTTCTAGCAGCTATATGCAATGGAGTCAGTCCTTGTTTGTTGGCCACGTCTAATTCTATTCCGCTATCGATAAGAAGTGCAGTCATTCCCTCGTCACCACATTCACAAGCAATATGTAGAAGTGTGTCTTCTTTCTAAAAACAAAAATTATTAATTAGCAATTTCAAATTTTTTTCTAACACTATAAATATTATAATTATAAACATAATAATCACTTAAAAAATATTTAACTCTTTTATTTCTAAAATTAAAATATCAATTCTTGTTTATTTGTCCCTTTTTTTTAAAAGCGAAAAATAAAAGAATAGAATTTTTATTTTAGAAATATTTAAATCTTTTTTATTTAAAATTACTAAATTGGTAAATTTCGGGCAAAAATGTCTCATTACCGAGTCTTTAACATCTAACGGAGCGCCTTGCTGAAGAAGTTGTGAAACTGCCTCGACACATCCTCTCTTCACAGTACTGATCATTGCTCCACTGAGACCTTGAGAAGCTTTCGTTTCCTGTATAAATATTTCATTACAAAAAAATCCAAAAAAAACACAAAAAAATACACCAAGACTCACTATTAAATAAAAAATACTCAAAAGAGAAACATTCCTCAAAAAGAAGAGAGAAAAAGCGTGCTTCTTAAAACAAAAACCAGAAAGAAAATAACTGTAGAGAAAAGAGTAAAAAATCTGCCGCGACGCTAATACCAATCGGTAATAATGAAAAAACTTTAAATTATTGAATTGATTTTTTCATTTATTATCTAAATCCATCGATAATAATGTCAAAGTACCGCACAAAAGCTTCTATTCACAGCAATCGAACGGAATGTACATTGTACAACTGGCATTAACGTCAAACAGTTGCGAGGAAAAAAAAATCCTTATAGTTCAAAAATATAAATAAAAATTAAAATACAATCAACGTAAAATTCTTAAAAAAATATATAAATATATATCTAAAGTGCAAACGAGGATCTTTGAATTCGGGAACACACCGTGAGAATCCAAGGATGCGTCAAACACAATTCTGCACTCCCTCGTTCTCTGAAATAATTAAATTACATGAAATGAAAATTTTAAAAAAGAATTAAATAATTTATTGTATATAAATAAATAAACAAATAAATAACAAAAACAATTTTTTCGATCGCACTAATTTAATTTTTTTATTTTAATAAAATTTCCCTAAAGAATTAAAATATTTTCAAAATTTTTTATGAAATTTTTTAAAAGAATTCAACTATTTTAAAAACAATTTAATTAAATTTCTTGAAAGAATTCAATTATTTTTTTCAAAACAATTTTAATAAAATTCGATGCAAAAATCGATTATTTTCATAAACAATTCTTCCTCGCAAGAATTCAATTATTTTCGTAAACAATAAAATTCTTCGCAGGATTTCAATTATTTCCCATTTAATTTAAATAATTTTTTTTTTTGAATTTCAATAAAACTTCACGAAAAAATTCAATTATTTCCATAAATAATAAAATTCTTCGCAGGAATTCAATTATTTTGAATAGAATTTCAATAAAGTTCTTTGCAGAAATTTAATTATTCTCATGAATAATAAAATTTACATATTAATCCAAAATTATGGAAAATAAATTAATTAATGTCCCTGTAATAAAAATAATTTTAATAATAAGCTTGATATTTATTCAGAAATAATTAAAGTGATAGTTGCTAAGCAACTGTTTCTTGGTAACCGATGTTATAAATTAATTGCTTACCAAATTTTAGTATTGATTGGTTGCTGAGTAACAGTTGCTTAGCAACTGTTGTTAAAAAATTTGTTAAATAATTAATTATTATTAATATTATTATATTTAATATTATTATTAATTATTATTTATTTGCTAAGCAGCTGCTTCTTAAAAACAATTATTACTTAGCAACAAATCATTTAATTTGTACAAATCCGCTTTAATTTTATTATTTTTTAATTAAATCCCAACGATAATTTTAAATAATTTTAATTATCATTTTAAATAAGAATATTCTCTACTTGTTTTACCGAATAATTGTTTTCTATATGTTTTCCCGAATAACTTGCTTTCTATATCCTCTCACGAATAATTTTTCATTTTCACCTGAAAATAATTTTTGCTTATTTCTTACGAATACCAATTTACAACAAGCAAAAATATTTTAATCTTACTTGCTCCATTTTCAAATATATCATAAATTTCATTTTCAAAATTAAATTAGCAGAAAATTAGTGCGACCAAAAACATTTTTTTCCCTTTTCTTTTTTTTTTGAAAAAATAGAAATTTCACGTACTTTGGATTTTTAATTAGTAACGAACGAATAAAGTCCTTGGCAACTTCGGACACTTTGCAGAAGAAGTTCTCGTCAAATTGATAATTACACGCTGCAACATTTGAATACGTCTCCTGTTTGTCCTCGCCCAAAAAAGGTGAGGCGCCTGTGAGAAGAATATACGTTAATACACCAACAGCCCAAAGATCTGTTCCTAAACATAATGGTTCGTAATTGACAATTTCCGGTGCCACAAATTCAGGTGTTCCAAAAAGTGCCCGATGTTGCGAACCAGGTGTCAATCGAAGCGATAAACCTAAATCTGTAAAATTTTCGAAAAAAAGAAATTGCCACTAGAATTATTATTAATCAGAATAAAAATTAAATTTTCACTTTTTAAGTTTAATATTTTTTTGCATTTGTTTATACTAAATACAGGTCTCGAAGCGCAATTAATATTTTGAAAATTAACAAGATTTTTAATTTTTATTAACCGGTGTGTTAATTTTTGTAGTCAAAATTAGTTTAAATTATAAATTTTATAAACAATTACTGTTAAAATTATAAATTTTGTCAAAATTGCTGTTCAATGAATGAATAAAATATATTCATGAATAAATATTGCATTTAAGAACAAATATATTTACAAATAAATAAATAAATAACCAGAGTTGCCACAAGAGTTTAGATTTGTTTTTCCTGATTTCCAGACAAAATTTTGACTTTTTCCCTGACCCTAAAGAATAACTTCTTCAAAATTATTTTCATTATTTCAATTCAATTTTATTTTCTAAAATTTTTAAATAAAATTCTTCTTTAATAATTTTTGATTCGAATTTTCAAATTCATTTGTTTACAATTCAATTTTACGAAATTTCGATTATTCGGAAATTTTTCAGTTAAATATACATTAGAAAATAAAAACTTGAAATAATTTTTAAAAATTTCGATTAAGCTTTTTGAAAAAAATTAGTTTCATAGGATTTTTAATTAAAAGTATAAAAAAATTCAATTATTTCTAAAAATTGCAATTAATATTAGTAACTTTTCGAAAATTCAATTATTATCTAAAACTTTAACTGAAATTAATTTTTAAATCAATTTTTATTAGAAAATTCTACGAGAATTCAATTATTTAAATAATAACATAGAAAATTTATTGAATAATTGAATGTTTCTTAAAACTGAATTCTTTTACATAATTTTATCAACAAATTTATAAATAATTGAATTGAGTTTTATTATTTTTAAAAATAATTGAATTCTTGTGATAAATATTGTTATTTATAAAAATAATTTAATTTTACAATGAATTTTATTAAAATTCCTGAAAATAATTGAATTTCGGGGAAGAGTTTTGCTATTTATAAAGATAATTGAAATGTTGACGAGAATTTTTTTCAAAATGTTTGAAAATAATTGAATTTCTGGAAAGAATTTTAATATTTATTAAGAAAGTTAAAATCTTTCAAAGAATTGCGTTAAAATTTTTAAAATTGAAACTCATTTTCAACATAATTCAAATGAGAATTTTTCAAAAAAATGCTTCATTCATCGATTTATGAGTAATAACTTTATAGCAGTTCTGTAAATAAATTATTGCCAGTAAAAATATTTTTTACTGACATAATAAATAATTTTTATTATTTATTGTAAAATAAATTATTGTCAGAAATAGACATTTTTTTTAGAATTCGCGATAATTTTATAGTTTATAAGGCAAACAAAGACACAAAAATTCATAATTTTCTTATAAATTCTAAACATTTAATTTTTTCCAGCACTTTTAATAAAAATTCCTGACTTTTCTCTGATTTTCCTGAATTCCCTGATCTGTGTCAACCCTGCTAACATATAACAATAAGTGAAGAGAAAATGAGATAAAATTCATTGATTTATATATACGCGATTCGAGGCCTGTTATAAATAGTGTTTGCAATTTAAATGAAATTTACTTAATCGCTCCAAAGAATTACCTATTAATTTTATATTAGGCATGGGTGGAGGTGTAAATAGAAGAATATTCTCTGGTTTAATGTCAAGATGAGCCACTTGATGCGAGTGCAAATGACTTAACGCCATTAGCACTTGGCGAACCTTGAAAAGAGCAAATAGATGAGAATTCAACTCTTACGGCGTAATATAATTAAAATAATACGGAAGTGCATTTTTATTATACCACATGAGCTGCTTCAGATTCATTGGGTGGTGACCAATGAAATAATTCGCCTCCAGAAATCAATTCCAAAAGTAATACAACCGTTTTACCAGTGTCTATAACTTTGTGCAACGAAACTATGTTTGGATGCCTTAATCTAGCCAATAGTCCAGCTTCCCTTGCTAAAATATTTCATTCTTGTATTTTTTTTTCCTTATTATTTCTTTCTGTTCCTATTTGAAATTTAATGGAAATAAAATATTTATTTACCAATGTCAGCTGTTGCCACTCCTCGTGCAACTCTTCTCTTTCTCATTATTTTTGCCGCGTAAACGGCCCCGCTTTTTATTTCTACGCATTTTCGAACAACGGCAAATTGCCCTCTGAAAATAGAAAAGAGAAATTAATTTCCAACAAATTGATAACAATGTTTTCCTCGTAAAATACGTAATCTGATTTCTTTGTTAAAAAACTATTATCTCATTGTTTTCAAGTTCATTTTCGAAATGAGAAAGAGAAAAAAACCTTATCAAAAACAATTAAAGCGATAACTCACTTGCCAATTTCCTCAAGTAATTCATAATTCTTTTCTATGGGTTCGTGATGAACTTCCATCAACGTGTCCCACTCGGACCCTATAAAAACAGCAGAAATACAAAAATTAAAAAAGCCAATTTAAGAAAACAATTTTTAAAAATTTCCTCCTTCAAAAGCTTTAATTTTCCATTTTCAAAACAAGAAACATGAGAAAATTCTCACATTGTGTTCACAATTCACGAAAGATAAATAAATAATTAAAATACAACAGCCGTGAAATAAAATGCAATGCGTAAATTTCCTAAAATGGAAAGATGACGTTCTGAACACACAAAAGGAATGAGGTAATGCGATGTGTTTACAAACAACCTACAAACAATTTAACTTTGCCTTTCGCAATATAGTACCCGTGTAAAAAAAGAATTATTCGCGAAATGAAAAAACATTTTTTTTCCTAAAATGTACACAAAATTTTGCGAATCAATATTATTTATAGAAAAAGTAAATTGGAAAACTTCTAGAACAACGCCATTGTTTATTTTTTTTACGAAGAGATTCTTAATTAGGATTCTTAATTACCAAATAGTTATTAATTATTAACAATTAACTAATTAACTAATTATTAATACTTTAAAAAAGTGGTATTGCAAATACAGAAACTATTTTAAATTCGATCACAAAATAGGTTGTGACAAAGAAAAAGGAAAAATTCGCAAACGTCAAACATCTGTCAAGTTTAAATAATAATTGTCCTTGTTAATGAAAAATTGAAGATGAAAATTTTCAATATTTACCATCGTTGGAAGTCCCCGATGGAAAGGAGGTAGTTGGCATCATCTCCTTCTCATGCTGAACGTTTTTTTCAAGCCAGGTAAATTTTTGACGGACATTTGAGAATAACCGTTACTATTCTGGCATTTGTCGGCCTTTTACCTCGCTTTTGCCGGCCACCCCACGCACACAATCAATATACATATGCGACGCCACCTACTCTTGTTCGATCATTATATGTATGTAAAGCAGTAAAATTCAAAAAAAAGTAAAAAAACAGAGGTATTTTTTTCCCTTGTAAATTAGAATAACGTTCTTTTAAACTTATTGTAAGTCACTTTTACAATTCCATTGATAGTTTTTTTTTGACACAATTTAACAAAATAGAAACGTTAACAATCTTTCTAAATACACTCGAGGGGAAAAAAGTGGAAAAACAGGTATAAAAATCGTAAAAGGTTATGAAAAAATAAACACTATGGAACACTGTTGATGTTGACCAATAGGAATGGCGAACTTCGTCCTTGAGTATTTCGATTGGTGGAAAACTATCTCAAGGTGACATCTTTTTTTGCGGGGAAATTTAAAATTGCATAGAGAAAATGCATTTTTACACAAATTAGAATAAAAAAATTGTTACTTTAATTAAATTTTTATTTTATAATTTTACATTTTATTCAATATCAGGATTACCAAAAAAATTCGATTTTATATTTTTTATTTCCAGATGGAATTTTGACTTTTTCCCTTATAAAAAATTCAAGGGGAATTAAAATCTAAAAAATAATTTTTAGAAACAAAAATTATAATTAAAATTTTAAATGTTTACTTAATTTAATAATGAAATTAATTATTGTAAGTGACTTCCCTTAATTATTTTTAAAAATTTGAATAAAATTCTTGAAAAAATTCAATTATTTTTAATTTATTATTTTAAATAATAAAGATTTACGGAAATTTCAATTATTAATTTATTGTATTAAATAGTAAAAGATGCGTTTTAATAATGATATTTAATTTTTACTCTTAAAGAATTAAAAGAAGTTTTATTTATCACTAAGAACGAAGGAAAATTCTATTTTCATAAAATTCACAAGAAAGGTATTTGAAGATACGAAAATAACTAGGTTAATTGAAATAAAATAGGTAATTTCCCATTTTAATAATTGAAATAAAATAGTCAATTATGAATAGTTATAAATTTAATATCGTAAAAATGCCGCTGATTGAAAATGCCAGTGTATTATTAATATTAATAAAATAAAACTTAAGCAAAAAGTGTGTGATGAGTAAAAATTGGATAATTGGTGAAATTTAATTGTAAAGTGGAATTTATTCTTGCATTGATGCTTCGGTCACTTGTGCATTTTGAGCTGGAGCATTGTCAGAGCCCTTCTTTTTGCTACCTGACACAATATCGTCAATTCTCAATAATAAAATTGCCGTCTCAATTGCAGTTTTATACGTTTGCAATTTAACTGCAAGTGGCTCCCAAATTCCTCGTTCCTTCATGTCAACCAATTGACCAGTTTCGCCATCAATTCCCCATGTTGTTTCGCCGGCCGCATGCTTTGCCCGCAGTGCCGTTAATGTACGAATTGTATTTGCACCGCAATTTTGCGCCAATGTTCGTGGTATTATTTCCAATGCCTGTGCAACGGCTTTGTAGGGCCATTGTTCAACGCCTGCGAGTGTGGCCGCCTTCTCGGTTATTAGTCGTGACACTGCCATTTCGACTGCTCCACCACCTGAAATTAAAGAAGGAAATTAAATTTTTCCATTTGTTTCGAATAGTCAGAAAAAAGAACAGGGATGCCACAAAAATTTGATTTTGATTTTCCCTGATTTCTCCCACATTTCCAGAAAAAATTTTTCCCTTTCCCTGATCCTAAAGAATATTCTGATTCACTCTCAAAATTATTAATTAAAAATTAAATTAAAAATTTAAAAAATATACTTAATTAAATGATTTATAGGTAAGTAATAACTTTATGGTAGTTCTCCAACGTAATTAAGTTATTCAAAATGAATTATTGTCAGAAATAGAAAAAATTGATGGCTTTTTTTTAGAATCTGTGGCAAATTCATAGTTTATGGGTCAAACAAAAAGACAACTTTTCCCTGATTTCCCTGACCTGTGGCAACCCTGGAAAAATGATAATAGAAAATAGAAATAAAGAAAGAAAGGAAATTGTAAGAACCTGGCACGAGTTTCGGTTCCATCAAAAGATTTTTAGCAACGTGTAGTGCGTCTTGTAGATTCCTCTCGGTTTCGTTGAGGATATCCTTACTGGCGCCGCGCAACATAATCGTGCAGGCCTTTGGATCCTTGCATTCGGTGATGAAACAGAAATATTCGTCGCCAATTTTCTTGATCTCGAATAAACCGGCTCCAGTTCCAACATCCTCTTCTCGCAATTCATCGGTGCGATTAACGACAGTCGCGCCACAAGCTCGTGCAATTCTGTTGATATCAGTTTTTCTCAATCGTCGAACAGCCGATATATTCGCCTTCACCAAGTAATGTTGCGCCAAATCTGAAACTCCCTTCTCAGTAAAAATAACATCCGGCTTCAGTGCAATAATATCCTCGCACAATTTCCTCACATTCTCCTCCTCCATTTCCAAAATTTTCGTAAAATCCGTCTCCTTCATTATCTCAATATTCGTCTGTGATTCGCCCTTCTTGTACTCAAGGGGACAATCCAAAAGGACAATTCGAGGATTTTTGATGAAACGACGCATCTTGGGATGAGTCACGTCCTTATTGACCATAACACCCTTCAGGACACTACTATCCTCAATACTGCCACCGGGAATTTTTTCCACCTTCGCATAACGTTTGATGTCAATTTCCCTACGTCCATGCTCGTCCAACATTACAGTGTGCACAGCGTCGAGTGCAATTTCACAAGCGAGATCCGACCATTTGCCAATGAATTTTGTACCAACGCACGATTTCACAACTTCAGCGAGTTTCTTGCGATCAGTGCGATCGAGTTCGAGACTTATTTGATCGTTTAATACTGCAACCATGTCCTCGAGTGCTTGACGATAGGCACGAATAATAACAGTTGGATGCATTCCTTGACTGAGAAATGGCTCGGCAGTCGCGAGAATTTCACCGGCAAGAACAATAACCGATGTTGTGCCATCGCCAACTTCCTCGTCCTGAGTGCGGGCAATTTCAATCATTGATTTTGCCGCCGGATGCTGAACGGTTATCTCACGGAGAATTGCATTTCCATCGTTTGTCATCACAATTCCACCCATTGGGTCCATTAACATTTTTAACATTGCTTGTGGACCGAGACATGTTCTTATCACGTCGGCGATTGCCTAAAAATAAGAAAAAGATGAGTCAATTAAATAATAAAATTCATTGGAGGATTTCAATTATTTTCAAAAATTTGAAACAAATTCTTGTCAAAAATTCAATTCTTTTTCATAAATAATTGAATTCTTTGCAGGATTTCAATTATTTTTTTAAATAATAAAATTCTTTGGAGGATTTCAATTATTTTCAAGAATTTTAATAAAATTCTTCTTGTCAAGAATTAAATTATCTTCATAAAAAATAAAATTCTTTAGAAGATTTCAATTATTTTCATTAATAATAAAATTCTTCGGAGGATTTCAATTATTTTAAAAAATTCGAAACAAATTCTTGTCAAGAATTAAATTTTTTCATAAATAATTGAAAATTCTTTGCAGGATTTCAAATTATATTAAAAAATAGAAAAAATTCTTTGTTTAATTCAATTATTTTCAAAATTTTCAATTTAAATTATTCAAAAAACTAAGTTATTTAAAAAAAACACAAAGAAATTCCTAAAAAGAATTTAATTATTTTCTATATTAAAATTAAAATTTGCAAAACTATTGATTTTTTCTACCTATTTATGTAATTTATTTTCATTCCTCTAGAAGTTCTATCGGTTATATGGTTATATTCGAAAATGACGTCACGACTTGTGCCGCAGAAAAAATATTTTACTCCAAAATTTGCACGAAAAAAACGATATGACCAAAAAATTTAATAAGTAAAATAAGTTGAGTTTAGCAATAATTTAATTAGTTAACAATAATAATTTCCCTCCCCAAGGGTTAAATTAATAATTTCTTTCAATAAACTGTGGGTGTATAACCGGTAAAGTCCTTATAAGGTAATGTACTACATCTCATAAAAAGAACTCACCTTTCCAGCCTGAATATTTTCCCTTTGAACTTTTTTACCAGAATCTCGTTTTGTATTCTCGCCTGCAATTATTAAAGTAGACATAATTAGTTTCTTAAGTACAATGAATTATGCAAATTACTATCAACGAATGAAAAAACAAAATCATAACGATTTTCTAAATATTAAAACAAAAACTTACTGAGAACAACGATTGGGGCAGAGCCCGGAAACATGTTTGCCTTTTGTTTTTGAAGAAACTCAAAATTCCGAGAAAAATAATTTATTTATTGAGTTTGTTTGTAATTAATATAGACAACTTTAATTATTAAAAATGAAATTAATTTTCAGACCACGAGGGGGATTGAAGGAGAGTGCAAACTAACCAAAAAGTACGTCTCTTTCACTGCTTGACGCAAGCGCAAACAAATTCTCTTTTTATTGGTTGGAAATTTTTTGAGCGCAATTATTCAAATGCTAAAAATTCAAACTGATTAGAAATTAATTAAATTAAATATAATAATAATTTAGAAAAAAAATTAAATTCTTCCATGGAATTATTATTATTTGTTTCCATAGTATTATTATATAATAATTAAATTCTTGTTAAAAGTTTTATTAAAATTTTTGAAAATAATAAAAAAGAATAATTAATTATGTACTTTAATGAGTGAGTTTAGAAAATCAATTAGAAAATAAGAACTTGAAATAATTTTCAAAAATTTTGATTAAGTTTTTCGAAAAAAATTAGTTTCATAGAATTTTTAATTAAAAGTGTGAAAAAGAATTTTCTTATAAATTCTAATCATTTAATTTTTTCCAGTACTTTTAATAAAAATTCCCGACTTTTCCTTGATTTACTTACATTTAATTATACAAATTCACTTTTAAGAAAGTGAAAGATAAAATAATTTCGCTTCAGTAAATATTAAACATTTTATTTGTACGTAGAAAACTTTGAATAAAATCAATTATTATAAACTAATTTATATTCTCTTGATATGTAATTTTATAGACAAAAATCCTGGTAATATTCTGCAGTAGAGGCATAATTATCAAAAAACAGCACAAAACACTATCATAGACATATTATTATATGTATAATAAAAATAGTAATAATAATAAATATTAATTAATAATTCATAAACGATGTGAATATATAAATAATTAACATTCCTATAAAAATTAAATAAAAAATCTATTTTTTTCTAAAAGAAAAAATTCTTCTCTCTTGAAATAATCACACGTGCCGAACGTGAAAACTGACAATATATTCTGCATTGGTTCTTTGGACTGAAATTGCAAAAGGATCAGTCGGATGAAATGTGAAGGCCACTAATCTTCTGGCAACGACCGGCGGTGTTCTTCCCAACATTCCCGCGTACATTCGAAATTTCAAAAGTCCCGAATCACGTGCGTAGAATCTAAAAATTTTGTTTTAAAATAAAAAAAATTTAATTTAAATAAATTAATGAGTTAAGGGCATTTGAACCATGATGACGTCACAGATTTAAAACTAATGCTTTGCACAAACTGTGACGTCATCAAGGTTCAAATCCCCTTAACATTTATGAATATTAAGATAACATTAATAAATATTGATTTAATATTAATTGAAAATAAATATTGTAGTTTGGAAATTTTGATTATTTACCGAATGGGATGTTCGCCACAAGCTTTTGGACGTTCCATCATTGACACCCATTTATCGTCGTAAGAAAATAAAGAAAGATCGAGATATGGTGAACTTGAATACGATTGTGCACAAATCGGCAATTGAGCAAGTAATCTTTTTGTCGCCTCCGTTATACCTCCGTATCTTGCACTGACTATTGTCTGCTTGAATCTCTGCTGCATAATTCTATTTTCAAAATGAAAACATTTCAATGACTTTTAATCAATTAATTTCAATAATAAATTTTATTCAAAGAATTTTAGTCGAAAAAAAATAATTACCTGGCGTAAATATTATTTGAAGGCGAGCACATAAATTGACAGTCGGAACTCACGCGGGCATTTCGGAAAAAATCACTGAAATTCTCAAATTGAGTCAACAATTGTGTGGAAGCATTATCGTAAGCTGCTAAAACTTTAGCAGTGACCATATTGTAAACTACTAGTAAAGCTGGTTGTGCGTTTGGCTCACTGGCCTGTAATGTTGCAACATCTTCAGTTGCATATCTAACAAGAATGTGATTTGTGTCTAGTAATTGCATTTTCCACATTCTCAGGGAATTGTACTGAAAAGAACAATTGATAATTGTAAAGAAAAAATTATAATTATAAATTTTACGAATATTTATTAGAGAATTTAAATAAATTTATATTATGAATATTTATTATGTAGTAAAAAAATTCATCACGGATTTATTATCTAAATATAAATTTATTACCTAGTAAACATTAGGTAATAAATTTATTGCGAATATAGAAAAATAATTAGATAATAAATAAATTTATTACGAATAATTTGAACTCACCACATCGAAATATTGATAAAAGCGTCTCAATTCGTAAGGGTCCCGATTTGTGTAACTTATATAATCGGCACGTTTATAGAGATAGACTAAAAGTTTATGTTTAAGACTATTAATCGTGGCATCTCTAAATGGTCTAGAATTAATTCCATGCCAGGCACTTGTGACTAAATACGCTTCATCCTCGAGACAAAACCTAAAAGCATAGAAAAGCGATTGAAAATTAATTAAAATTATAAATTAGTATTATTATATTAATAATTGCTTTTTTTATTTGATACACTTTTTCTTTAATTCGTCAATTTAATATAAAAAAAGCTATTATGAAGAAATAATTTTTCTGTACCTGCCAATGGTCCGAACGTTAATAAACATTCCGTCTAATAATTGAAAAATATGAATCGTTTGATGCTGTACGGACAGTACTGCTAGAATATCTTTGTAGAGATAGAGGCCTGAAAGAATTGTTTTCGAATTTTATTCATTAAAAATGTCCGCTTATTAATGAAAAATTATAGAAAATAAATTAATTTACAAATTTTTATTTTCTTTCATAAAGAAATTAAGAAAGAACAAGATAGAAAGAAAAGATAAAAATAATTAAAATCAGTTCTTTAAATCGGAAACTCAAATTTTTCTTTAGTTAGAAAGTAATTTTTGTGTAAAATAAAAAATTAGTGGCTATAAATTTTACCTTGATTGTGGGACAAATAAATCTTGTCGACTTTAAAGTGTCGTGTATCACAAAGTTTACCACAGCGCAAATCAACGAGATGTAAACTATAATCTTCGAGAGGAGATCTTGGATTTGGCGTAAGTGCCTCGTTGTTCGAGTAAATCTGAAAAAGAAAGAATCGATTTCATTCACTGGAGAAAATTGCAATTTTTTTTGTTTTTCCCAAACTTTGTTTCTGTTTTGTTATTACTTTAGTTTATTGAGACAAATAAAATTGTAGTTGAAAATAATCTATACCTGATAAAAATGAGGTCTAAGATCGTCAGGAATATGAGCAGCGGAACCAACAATAACGTATCGTTCATCATCGGTAAATAAACTACATTCTCTGTTCAGTTGTTCATTACTTTGTACAACATTAACAATCCATTTGATCTGCAAAAAGAAACATAAAATTGAATTAAAAGGTAAAAAGAAAGGAAAAATTGGGTTGCCACAAAAATTTAATTTTGATTATAAATACTAAACATACTTTAAAGAAACGTTTGAAAATATCCCTGCGAATATGAAAAGTCTCTTCATTCTTTTGTCCGATATATTCGCCCTCGCAGCCATCTAAAAGATCAGCAGCAGCCGATGCACCTTGATATTCATAAATTTCAATCGACGTTTGATCTAAACTGAATGCAACCAAATATCTTCCATCTGGACTAAATTTTCTCAGGAAACAAGGCGGTTTTTCAACATTGACAACCGTGAAATTTGGAAAGACATTTTGATAAAATTGCCTGGCAATTAACACCTGTGTTCCTGGATATGAACATCCCAGGGTTTCTCTTCGTCGTAAACGAATTGCAATATTTTGTGGTTCCAATTTTCTCGGAGTTATTAAACAAGTGTCTGTACCAAATTCATTATCTTCTTCTATTTCGGCCATTCTTATTGCACAATTTATTCATAACAAATTAAATTAAAACCAGTTAATATTTTAATAATTAAATTGAAGTTAAAACATTGTTTACATTGTTATAAAACATCAAAACATGTATAACCTCAAAATAACAAAATTGTTTAAATCACAGTCACTCACAATTTATACTTGTTGTTATTTTTTAAATATGTACAAATGTATCAAAAAGGTATTTAAAAAAACTTAATTTGCAGTATATTTTTTCTAATTTGTTGTGTTAAATTTGACAAATTATTAAACAGTGACATGTTTTGTTTATATAAAGATTTCTCTCTTAGAAAAGCACACTAACGCCATATTGTCGGAAGTGTCACTTTTGTGAATTACTGTTTGTCAAATATTGAAGCACGTGGGTTTATTTTTGCAATTTTTATTTGCAATTATTTTCAAATAAATTTAGTCTCCTTCGTTTATTTATAATTAAAAAAAAAGTTTAAACTATATTTTATTCATTAATATATAAAAGTCTTGGTGCTTCATTTCAAATAAGAAAATATTCGCCATCTCTACGTTAATATATTTATAGGTTAGTTTCACTTTTGTTTATTTTTCCCCTTTTTCCCTAAATTATTTTCAAATTAATTAATATTTTCATTTAAATATTCAATTAGTTTAATTATTCAATTATTATTGTTTCAATATTCTTAAATTGTAATCCAAAAGTTACATATTCTATTATTTATTATAACCGTTAGAATACTAAACTCTAAATATTTTGTTACTCCTACTTATTAATTTATTTAAAAAATAAAGTATATACGTATTTTAATTAACAAACTTAATATTTTAGCTAAATGAAAAATGAAGATTTTGAAAATTGTATTTCATCGAGAAATAATCAAGTACTGAGTCCAAAAATGAATTTTCAATCACCACAAAAATTATTCATAAAATGTAGAAATATTGATGAGAGTGAAAAGGAAATAATTACAGAAATAAATGAACTGGAAACTGGTAGGATGAACTCGAAAGAAAATGATTTTTTCACACCACCGAAATTAAGTAATGATCTTTTTGATTCAACAATACCGAATGAAGATGAAGTGGCAAAATTACTCTACGATTCAGAAAATATTCTTAACTTGGATAGTATTCAAGTAACAAATGATTCGATCTTAAATTTTTCCTCTTTAGATGAGAATTCTAATAATGAAAATTCAAGTGAAAAATCTCCAGTCGATCCTTTGTCACTGGACAATGTGAATACAGTGGAAATGAAAAATGTATTGCCAAATAAATCAGAATCGAGAAAAAATCTGAATTATGATTCCGATGATGAATCGGAAGATGAAGAGGAAAGCGAAGATGAAGGAGAGGATGACGATGACGAGGACGAAGAAGACAGTGAAGAAGATGATGATGATGAAGATGAAGACGACGAAGAAAATGAGGAAATTGCAGAAAAACTATTCAAAACCCAAAAGAATAATTCAAAGAAGGAAATTTTATCTACAGAAACAATTGAGGTACCTACGTAATTAATTTTAAATTGGAGCAAATTTCGATTTGAAAATAGAAAAAACTGTTAATAATTTTTCTTTCTTTTCGCAGAAATTAAATAAATTAGTTATTAGATTAACTCACGTGGTTCCACCACAACATAAAGTGGAAAGTACGTCTGGATCGAGAACACTTACTAGAAAAGAATGGAAGGCTTTCGATAAATTTTCGAAAAGAATACGAACTAAATTTACTGAAAAGGAAGATAGTATTATCAGACAAAATTGGAAATTATTCTGTAAGGTAAGTATATTTTTTTGTGAAAAATTTTAATTTCAATTCTGTTGAAATTAATTTCAATTTTAAAAATGTTCATTTTTTCCCTTAATTGAAGTCAAATGAAAATATTTTACGTGAAAAATTAACAATTTAACTTTTTTATTTACAGATTCACGACTGGGATGAAAATGATGTACAATCTTTTTTGTATCTGAAACATCAGGGCAAAATATACATAAAGAGTTCATTGGAGAGAAAGAAATTTGTTCAATTTTTAGCCAAAGGATTGCCATATCGAACTTTGTTTAGCGTTTACACTAGATTTCGATTTTTATTTAGAAATCACGCCTAGTAAGTTTATTTACTTTCAATTCTTATTGTTTATTATTAACAAAAGTAAATTAAAATCAAAATTTCAGTAAATTGAGGTTTTAATTTTAATTTAAAATCCTAGTAAATTAAATATTGTAATTTAATTTAAAAATTTGAAATTTTATTCAATTTATTGTTATTTTAATTTTACAGTCATGGACGATTCACGCCTGAAGAGGATAAGAAAATAATGATTTTTATGAATTCTTCAAATGTTGTTAGACAGTGCAAAATTAGTGAACTCTCGAAAATTCTAAAACGAACTCACATTTCAATCTTTAAAAGGTACCAAAAATTACTAAAAGCTAAAACTAACAGAAAAAGAAGAAATAAACAATGTAAGTCATTTTTCAATTCCGTAGAATGTAAATTAATTTTATTAACAGAATGTAAAGTATTTTATTTTGTTTTTACAGCTCAGGATAAAGTTGTATGGACTTTGGAATTAACCGAAAAATTTTTGGTAAATTTAATAAAACTCACGTTAAGTAAAAACGTTAACGAACTCGAGAATCAAAAAATACCTCAAGTTGTTTGGAAAGAAATGAAAAAAAGAATGGGCATTGAAGTGAATGTTTTAAAGTACTTTTGGTTTGGAAGATTACACTTGCAACTGTTTTCACCTGATCCGATCTATTTGAACGACATAAAAATCAAACTAATCGAATTGTAAGACTTTCTTTTTTTAACTAAAATATTCTTTTCTAATTCAATTATTTCTACTAATTTTTTTTTCCAATTTTACTTTTTCTGTTAGTTTATATTCATTGGAATTGAAGAGCACCAAAGAAATCAAATGGGCCGAAGTTTTAAATAATTTTGAAGGAATGACAATATTTTTTCTCTCCGATCTCACTCATCGATTGTTGAAACATATCAAAAACAAAACAACAAATTTCACCGGTAAGTAAATTGACATTTTTCCACATATTTTACAAAATTGAATTCGTGTATTTAAACAAAACATTTTTTTTTAGAATCTATGAATCATCTTTACGAGAAAATTATTCCTCAATTAGAAAATAATCTCAAAGATAAATATTTACCACGTCTTTGTTATAAGAATAAAAAATTGACAGTTGTAGATGACATCGAAGAAATTGAATCTAAAAACCTTTCGTCGAATGAAGATGACAGTAAATTGTCAAAAGGACAGGAAAAGAAAGAAAAGAAATTAAGAACATTGAAGAAATCGGACAGTACAGAAAATAAAAACCTTTCGTCGAATGAAGATGACAGTAAATTGCCAAAGGAACAGGATAAGAAAGAAAAGAAATTAAGAACATTGAAAAAATCGGACAGTATAGAAAATAAGAACCGAGCGTCGAAAGAAAATGTTAATAAATTAACAAAGGAAGTGAGAAATAAGGAAAGAAAATTAGGAAATTTAAAAAAGGAGAGTTCAGAAAAGGAGAATTTAGATTGGTCTCTATCGTTACGTGAAAAATTTTTGAAAAAGCTCCTTGAATTAATGATTTCCGATGATATTGGAGAATTAAAAGACGCATTAATTCACACTGTCGTTTGGAAAGAAATGACAAAATATTTTCCCGTTCATCACAGTGAACTGGAAAATTTATGGTACAATGAATTGCATTTGCAACTTTATTCACCGAGACCAATTTACTTGAACGATGTGAAAATAAAATTAATAGAATTGTAAGATAAAAACATTTGCCAAGCTTTAGTTGAAATCTCTTTTGAATTAAATAAATCATGTAAATTAATATTTACAAACATATATTTCTTCGTGTGTTTTAATTTCGTTATTCTTCGTTTTTTCAGAATCTATCGAAAACAATTCGAAAGCGAACAAGAAATAAATTGGGAAATTGTCTGCTGTTCCTTCGATGGATTCACCAAAAATTTTCTTTCTCAAGTTTTCAATAATCTCGTTGACGTTGCAATGAAAGAAAAAAATTTCTCCAAATTTGCCGGTAATTTATCACTTTTTTTATCAACTGCAAAGAAAACTAAAAAAATAAATATAACAATTATAGATATTTTCTTTCAGATATTACGAAATATTTGTACGAAACAACTCTGATGGAAATAAAAACTGGAGAAAATGATCAATTCTTGCCACGAATAATTTTCGAGAATGGAAAAATTCAATTTGTAGACATAAATCTCGAGAATGATGAGAATTATTGTAAGAGTGAAAATGAAATTGACGATAAATGGGAATTATTAATGACTTCGAAATTTAGGGAAAAATTTCTAAAATCGTTACTTCGATTAAATTTGAGTATGAAAATAGAGGAATTAAAAGATGCTGAGATTCCAGACGTTGTTTGGATGGAAATGGAAAAAGAACTCAAAACTGATATGAAAATTTTGATGAATTTATGGTACAAGGAAATGCATTTACAATTATTTTCTCCACGTCCTATTTATTTAAATGACATCAAAATTTGTTTGATAGAATTGTAAGTTTTTGAGTGTAAGAAATGGAAAATTATTGAAATTATATTATTATAATTATTTTGTCTATTAATTAATTGATTACTTTTTTTTACAGAATCTACAATTGTCGAATAACGGACGAGAAGCAAATAAATTGGGACGAAATTTCTTCCCATTTCGATGGAATGACGGAAATTTTTCTTTCGGAAATTTTTGTCGATCTTCTTAATTTTGCGTCGAAAGAAATCAATTCTTCGAAATTTACCGGTACATTATTTATTTTTCAAAGTTCTTAGTTAATTAAAAATTTACTTCTATAATTAAATTTTTCTATATAATTTCTATATATATATATATATATAATTTTCAAAAACAAAAAAATAGAAAAGCAGAAATGAAAAGCAGATTTATTTTTCAGAAATTATCAAATATTTGTACGAGACAATGTTCTTGAAACTAAAGGAAGGAGAATTTGACAAATGTTTGCCTCGAATATGTTTTGAAAATGACGAGATTCAAGTAATTGATGAAAAAATTGAAAACGATGTGACTTGCAAGAGGGAGGAAAATGTTGAAAGTGAAATTGCAAACGAAATGGAAAACTTTTGGACAGTACCTATGAGAGAAATATTTTTAGAATGTCTTCTTTGCGTGAATTTAAGTGAGACGATAGAAGAATTAAAAGATGCATTCATTCCAGGAGTTGTTTGGAAAGAAATGGAAAAACAATTAGAAATTGATAGAAATATTCTGGAAAACTTGTGGTACAAAGAATTGCATTTGCAACTATTTTCTCCAAGGCCCATTTATTTAAACGACATCAAAATGTATTTAATAGAATTGTAAGTTCCAGATGAAAATTATTATTAACTTCCAAAAAAAATTTTTGATTGTTTTAAAAAATATTATATTTAATTAAGTAAATTAACTTTTAAATTAAATTAATTTGATTTATTTTTAATTTAATTAACTTTTTATTTAAATAAAATTTATATTAACCAAGTAATAATGAAATGAATTATAAGTAATGAATTTAAATAAATTTTCTATTTAAATTTATTTGAAAACATTCTTAACAATAGAAATTATAATTGTTAGTATAAAAAATTAATAATGATTATAATGATAAAATTTTTTCAATTTTTTTTTCGACAGAATCTACAAAAGTGAAGTCACAGATTTCGATGACATAGATTGGAATGAAATTTCTTCTCATTTCGATGGTATGACGACAGTTTTCCTCTCTCAGGTTTTCCAAGAACTTGTTGAATCAACGTCAAAAATAATAAATTCTAAAAAATTTTGTGGTAAGTATATTTTTATTTTCAGAATAATTACAAATTACTATGGTTTTAATTAGTATATTGTAAATTATAAATTCAAATTTTCAATATTTTAATACTTCTCTATTTAATATTTATTTATTTTTTCTTCACTTTAAATTATTTCTTTTATTTTTAAAGCTACTGAACAATTTTTTCTTTTTCCCTAGAATATTGCTTAATTTTCAAATGGACATATTATAATAAAAAATTAATTCTAATTGATACTAGAAAGCATAATATATTTCTTTGCAGATATTATAGATTACATGAATGAAATAACGTTTAACGAGATAAAAAATAGTTCCTCCGACCAAATGCTACCTCAAATTATATTTAATAATGGAAAAATAAGCACTGTAGAAAGTGAGAAGAAAAGTTAACTTAATTAATAAGAACAGATTTTAGAAAATTCTTCTAAAGAATCAAAAGTCAATGATAACTGTAAAAATACAAAGATTATTAATAATTAAAATTTTATATTTTACGTTGGTAAAATTAAAATAAACTCTATTTTCATACTTTTAAATTTTGTAATTTATTGACTTTATAACCACTATCTATTATATCCAGTAAAATATTTCCAATTTAAAATATTTCGAAAAATTTATTTTGATTTCATAAATTTAAAAAAAGCAATTCTAAATTTTAAAAAATCTACAAAAGACAGAAATTTAATTATATTTAAAAATTTTTTTAAATTCTCGTCAAAATTTCAATTGTCTTTAGAAATAATTAAATTCTTCTCTGAAATTCAACTATTATCAAAAATTTTAATAACATTCTTGTCAAAATTTCAATTATTTTCAAAAATTTGTCTTAATTCAATGATCTTTAATATCTACTATTTGAATAAAATTTTCCAAAAGAATTCAATTATTTAAAAGAACTTTAATAAAATTCTAAAAACCTTTAACTATTTTCATGAAAATAATACAAATTTCACAGGAATTCAATTATTTACAAATTTTTTAAATATTTCTTCGCAATAATTCAATTATTTTCAAAAATAATAAATAATAAGAAATACACATAATAAGACTCATTGCAGAATTAAATATTATTCAAATGTAATAAAGTTCTTCTTAGGGATTCAATTATTTTCACAAATAATAAAACTCATCGCAGAATTTCAATTATTTTTAATACAATTTTAAACGAATTTCTCGAAAAATGTAATTATTCTTAAAAATTTTATTAAAATTCGTCGAAAGAATTCAATTATTTAAAAATTTGTTGATAAAATTCCTTATGGGAATTGAATTTTAAGAAACGTTCAATTATTCAATATATTATTTATTTTTGTATTTAAATAATTGAATTCTCGTAGAATTTTCTAATAAAAGTTGATTTAAAAATTAACTTCTATTAAAACTGTAGATAATAATTAAATATTAAAAACAATAGAACGTGAATTTTTAGAAATAATCGAATTTTGAAATTATTTTTTTCTTTGAAAAAGTTTAATTGAATTCAATTAATTTCAAAATTATAAAAAAAAAATTCTCGTCATCATTTCAATTATTTTTATAAATGAATAGCAAAATACTTCGACAAAATTCAATTATTTTCAGGAATTTTAATAAAATTCATTGCTAAATTCAATTATTTTCATAAATAATAATAATCATCACAAGAATTCAATTACTTTCAAAAATTTTAATTAAATTCATGGCAAAATTTCAATTATTTTGAAAAAGTTTTCTTAATTCAAGAATTTTAAATATTCTACTATTTTAATAAAATTTCCCAAAAGAATTCAATTATTAAAGAAAAATTATGATAAAACTCTACACGAACATTAAATTAATTTCCAAAAAAAGAAATTCTACAGGAATTCAAATATTTAAAATAGAATTTGCATAAATTTTTTTCAAAAAAAATCAAATGTTTTAAAAAATTGGCATTAAATTCTTCGGAGTAATTCAACTATTTTCATAAATTTTAAAATTCCTTTCAGGGCTTTAATTATTTTTATAAATAATAAAACCATTTGGATGAGGAATTCAATTATTTTTAAAAGAAATAAAATTTAATTATTTAAAAAAATTTTTCTTATTTCAATTATTTGTATATCAATTATTTTAATTAAATTATCCAAAAGAATTCAATTATTAAAAAACAATTTTGACAAAGTTTAAGTTTTTATTTTCTAATATTTATTTAATTCAAGAATTTACGAATGATTGTAATTTCGTAAAATTGAATACTGCAAACAAATGGATTCGAAAATTGCCAAAGAACTTTTTTTTTTAAATTATTAAAAATAATCGATTTAAAGAAGAATTTTAGTTAAAAATTTAGAAAAAAAAGTTCTCATTGGTTATATATTTTTATCAGTAATTGGTCCGTAATTTTTTATTTTTGGTCCGTAAAGTCTGTATTTTTAAATACTTTCACTGGTTCGAGCCTTGCCTTTTTTTTATTGGTTTTAATTTTTTTTTTTAAATTAATTTTCGAGTGCAAAGCCTGAAATAGATTTTACGAATAAAATAAGTAGTAAAATCATATTTTAGTCAGACAATGTTTTTCAAATGTAGGTATAGTATTAAAGTAGTAAATAAATTTTGTGGTCAGACAAGACTACTTTTAGTTAGGAATTTATTAATTTAAGTAGTAAAAAGTATTAAGAAAAAAAATTTTAACAGTAGTAAGAATAAGTTTTAGTCAGACAGAAAATAAAAATTATAAATAAGTTTTAGTCAGACAGAAAATAAAAATTGAGGCCTTGGATCCAATAACTCGCCCGACGCTCGGAGGAACGCGCAACTGCCAGTCAGTGAGCAGTGAGCGCCTCTGGGCCACTCACTGCTACCCGACTGGTATTAGCGCGTGTCTTCGAGCGTCGGGCGAGTTATTGGATCCAAGGCCTCAATTATATTATTTTCTTAGTTGTAAATACTTATAAATAGTGTAATAAGTAGTAATAATAAAAAATTTTAATCGCAAACGAAAATCTTCAATTTTGACAATTTAAGTAGTTAACACTATAGTAATAGTCAGACGAAATTAGTACAATCAAGTTAACGCCTTTTTAAGCTAGATAATTTTTTTTCTGCTTGATAAAATTAATTAATATATTTTTATATTTAATTAATATTAAATTTAATATTATATTTAATTTATTAATAGCTAAATAAAAAAATGAAAGTACGATTCAAATTTAAAAGTAATTGTCGAAATTAATTAAAATATGTAAATAAAAAACTTTTTTCAAATTTTTAAAAAAGAAGTAGTAGAATATCAGATAAAGAAGAAGATTTTATTTTGAAATTTAAGGACAAGGAAATTAGGAATAGAAAATATTGAAAAATGACAATAAGAAATAAGAAAGAAGACACTTCAGATTGAATTGAACAATGTCCATTATATTATATATTTTATTCCCACATACACACGGCACGTTGTGAACCTTTTCTTAAATGTTAATAATATTATCGTAATAATAATATTTACCATCATCGTCAGCATCAGCATCATCAATATAATCATTATAATTAATATTAATTAAAACAATAATAAACAATAATATGAATTCAGTAGATATATTTTATATGTATATGTATATTTATATATATTTATATATATAATAAATCATATAATAATTATTGTTGTTATCATATATTTATATGTACAGAGGGGTACAATATTGTTATTTTATTTTTATTTTTTTTTTTCATGTTTGTTTTTGTATATTTAGTGTTTAATATTTATAATCGCAATATTATAGTTAATTCTTCGTCTGTATACATACACAATTAATTAAATTATCGGCCCTTTTTTGTTTTTGTTTTCTTTTTTTTTTTTTGTTTGTTTGTTTGTTTGCATTCGCTACGGCGGGTAATTCTAGTGTTTTTTTTATTTTCAGGGCTCATCCTCACACTTTCAAAATTTCATTTTTATATCTTTCTCTCTCTCTCTCTCGTTCGCTCTTTCTTCCTTTCTCTCTCTCTCTCCCTCTCGTTTTTCGTTCATCCCTTTTTTGCTCGCACATTTTTTTTTTTTTTTTGTAATTTTATTCCGCAGCACCGACGATTTTTTTTTCACGCGGACATTAATAAAACATGATTTATTTTCGAAATTTTGGAGAAAATGTAATGTTGGTTTTTTTTTGTCTTTCTTACAAAACATCCATCGTAGCGTGGCCTATGAATTTTTTTTTTAAATAGTATTTAATTAAGTCGCGCGTCGAGAAAAGTTTGATTCTTACACTAAACATTCATTATTGTTATTGATAATATAATTATTCGGTAACAATCAAAATTATAGTGTTACAAATAATTATTTTTAAAAAATCGATTTTTTACTTACTTATATTTTTATATATATAAATACACATATTTGTTTATATAAATATTAGTAATATTTTTTAATATTAATATTAATATCAATATTAATATCAATATTAACATCAATATTAATATTAATATCAATATTAATATCAATATTAACATTAATATTAATATTAATATTTTGAAAGAATAATAAATAATAATATTAATGTTATTGACATTATTAATATTTATATAAATTTTATTACACACATTTATATATATTTGTTTATATAAATATTTTTAATATCTATAATAATTTTTTATTGTAATAATTGATTGATTAATTAATAATTTAAATTATAATATAATAATAATAACAACAATAGTATTGATATTATTAAAAATTGTTATTTTTTATTTGCTCATTGTTATAGATATTATTAATATTTATATAAATTGCATTATACACACATTTATATATTTTTACGGGCGTGATTCATTAAAAATCCCTTCGAAATTCGAAATTTGTGGTATTGTAGTAATAATCTCGTTGTCTGACAAATTATGATATATAGGTAAAAGTCGAATTATCAAAAGGTTTTTTAAAAATTCGAGAGATTTTTAATTACCTATTAGCGTTTTTTTTTTTTTTTATTATCTTCTATTAATAATTCCCTTTTCTCGACGCTCGACACAAATATTTTTTTTTTTCCTTTTTTTCGTTTTTTTTTCATCTTTTTGTAAAAAGCAGGCCTTCCATATAATACGCTGTACAGAATTTTTTAATTAATTTATATTATAAATCATGTTCTCTTATATAATTCTTATCGTTTAATGTCATTTATTATCAGTAGTGTAAAATTGAAACTTTACGTTTACTTAAGATTTAGATTATACCTTCTGCTTTGCATTTTTTTTTGTGTTTTGTTATTTTTTTTTTTACTTTTTTGTTTCCATTAATCAATTACACAATCGGCTAAATTTAATATGTCACTATGTATCGTTACGAGTAAGAAGATGTAAAATTGGTATTTTTTTGTTTTTAATGATTTTTTTTTCTCGCTTCTGCTGCAAAAATTTGAATTGAGTCTTTGTGTAAGCTTCACTTAATATATTTTTTTTTTTTGTTCTTGTTAAGTGTATCACTATTTTTTTTTGTTTTTAAAAAGAAATGTGTTTTTTAAAGATGAAAAAATTGTTTTTCAATTATATAATTAATCATAATTAATTATAACTTTTTTCAGGAAAATTAATT